GCATTATGTGTGCAGTTATGCACAATGTGTGTTGGTTGCTTCATAACATTTCAGTAAACAACAAACCACATATAGGATGTTGGTCCCAAAAGTTGTACCATTTTGGTTTGTGCAATTACACTCTAGCATCTTTACAGTTGCCTAAAGATGCTTTTCTTTCTTTTTTTTTTTTTTTAAAGATTTATTTATGCACACAAAAACTGGGGAACAGGCCAGAGGTGAGAGGATTTACCAGAGACAGTGGGGAGCAGAGGCAAACTGAAATGCACTGCTGAGAGGAGCAGCGGGTGGAACAGGAGAGGTCTGCTGCACCATGTGGGTAGCTCCCTGGCCGGTTAGCTTCATAGTGCTGTGTTTAACCCCTTGTGCCACCAGGGAGGCCCCTAAAGATACTTTTCTCCAAATTTATCCTTATCCTTCAGGGATGCATGGCTGTTTTTACATATATGTTTGATTTTAAACATTTGAAAGTAACTTTCATGTATACACTCTTCACTTGTAAATATTTCAGCATTTCCTAAGAATAAGGACATTTTACTATATAAGCATGATACTTTATCGCATCAAAGAAAATCCATTTTTATTCCATGGTATTATTTAATATCCAGTTCATGTTCAATTTTTGTGATTATTCTAAGATTTGTTATTTGGGAGGGTAAGGGGACCAGATTTGATCAAAGTTTATGTACTGAATGCTAATGTTCTTTTTCTCTAATCCCTTTTAATGAGAATCTTGTTTGGTTTTCACCACACTGGCTTTTGGGGACAAGCAGGCCAGTTGGCTTAGAGAATGTCTCCTATTCTGGAGTTGTCTCTTTCTTTGTCACGTTGTTTCATTTGTTTTACTCCCTTTTGTAGTTCCTACAGAAAAGACCTAGAGATATGACTCAATTGTACTTTAAAATATTCTCTTTTATTGTAAAAGTCAATCCTATTACAGAAAATTTGGAAACTAGAACAAAAGGGAATAGAATCCTTTAACAAAAGAATAACCAGTGTTTTAATTTTTTTTTAGATTTATTTATTTATGCATACAAGAATGGGGGTATAGGCCAAAGGTGTGGGGGGTGAGAGCATTTTACCAGAGACAGAGTGGGGAACAGAACAGGCAGACTGACTGAAAAACGTTGCTGAGGGGAGCAGCCGGCGAGTCAGGAGAGATTTGCTGCTCCATGTGGGCTGCCCCCTGGCCAGGGATCGAACTTGTGCTGTAGTGGCTGCGGTTAGCTTCATAGGTTGAGTCTTAACCCCTTGTGCCACCAGGGAGGCCCCAGTGTTTGAATTTTGCCTTCTTCCAAGCATTGCTTTCTACATATTACAAGCCAGTGGGCTGACAGTGTTGTCTTTGCCTTTTTACGCACCGCTCTAGTGTAGCGGTCTAGCTGGTCAATGATCTCCATCTTCTGGCACTCAAATCACTGTGAAGTCTCACACTGTGTCAGGGTTAGTCTGTGAAACCAATTAGCAAATGGCAGAAATCCAGTCCCAGTCAGGCTGGAGACCATGAGGCGATGAGAGGGACAAATCAAAAGCCTGGACACAGTCATCATCTGGGGCGGATCCAAACAGAACATGGTTGGAACCATGACAGACAAGCCTGTGGGAAGAGCTGGTGTGGCCACCTCTCCCCTGACCTCCATCTACAGTATCTCCAGGCACCTGGAACCAAACCCCTGATCCAGAGATGCAAGCAACATGAATGAGGCTTCCTTCTCTTCCAGCTGGGGGAGGAAAACATCAGAGATGTAACTGGGACCCCAGGCCTGACTGGAAACCATGAAAGGAGATAAGCGGAGCTGGACTGACCACCTGCTGGAGTCTGTCCCCACCGAGGAACTTCCCTACCGACACTGGCAGGGAATTAGGTGCCCAATGCCAGAATTGTAAGACTCAGAGTGGGGCCTCCCTGGTGGTGCTGGGGTTAAAGACAGCACTAACAAGCTGTCACCAGCCACTGTAGCATGAGTTCAATCTCTGGCTGGCCAGGGAGCTGACCCACGTGGCACAGCAGACCTCTCCTGTCTCCCCACTGCTCCTCTCAGCAGTGTATTTCAGTACATCTGCCTGTTCTGCTCCCCAATGTCTCTGGTGAATCCTCTCACTGCCCACCCGCACCTCTGGTTTACACCCCAGTTCTTGTATGCATAAATAAATCAATCTTTAAAAAAAAAAAAAAGACTCAGAAGCAGTATCATGTGACAGTCATCAGAATAGATGGGATGATCAGTCTGCACAAGGAGGCATGAGACCCAGAGACCACCCTGGTCTGGAGAAAGTGGGTGAGTCTCCTCTACCACAGGAAGTTCCAAAATCAAGGAATCCGGAGAACCACTCCCCACCCCTGCCCTACAAGAGGTTCCTGCCATGCTCTGCCTAGCTACCTGCCACGTGGGTCAGCTCCCTGGCCACCTGAGCAGCCCAGTCTGCTGCAGTCCAGGAGCGCATGTCCTTACCCAGGAAAAGGACAAGCTTCCAGCAAAAGGACAAAGCTCGTGGCCTGACCATCGGTCTAGAGTGTGCAGTGAGGGAGAAGCTGGGGTGATCAGGGCGGGGGAGGGAGGCACACGGGAGAGGGTTGGATGTAGGCAGGTGGAATATTGGTGGGAGGACCGTGCCTAAGGAGAGCAATAACTATACAAAGATGACTGACGATGTAAGAAAATTAAAAAAAAAATAAACCAACAATGAGCAAATGTCAGAAGTAATGGTATGCCACTTCCAATATTAGGTTATAAAAAGGGAGGCACTCTTCACCCCTCCCTGTCCCTATTCTCCTTTCTAGTCCCCCACCCCCAATTTCCCTTACTGTGGAGGAACCTAGCAGCCATGGCCTGAAGACACTCAAGAACTTTACAGAAAGATCCCTGTATACAAATCCTGAAGCCGCTGGCCAACAGCCAACAAGGAACTAAAGCATGCCAACAACATTTCCATTGAGCTTGAAAGCTGACCCTCCTGCAGTCCTGCCTTTAGATGAGACTGTACCTCCAATCAACACCTTGACCACGTCACAACCTTGAGCCAGAACCATCCAGCTAAGCCACACCTGATTCCTGATATGCAGAAATTATGCTTGTTCTTTTAAGCAGCTATATTTGGGAAAATTTCTATGCAGCAATTGTTAACTAGCACATATCCTTGGGGGGTTTTCCAATTGCTGTTGTTTGGTTCCCATGAGGGGGTTATCAGAACATACATTACTTGATCTTAGCAAAGAACCTACTATACCCTCTCACTCAATGTGTTCCAGGCATAACAGTGTCACCTCAGTGCCTTTGTCTTTACTGTTCCCTCTGCCTGGAAAGCTTTTCTCCCAGATAGCCTCATGGTTTAGTCTCTCCTCTCCTTAAGAGATCTCTATTGAAATGTTAGACCTGACTTGCTAATCTTAAAGAGAATTCCCATTATGTTTGGTTCCCGTCTATTTTTCTTTCTTTTTTTTTAAAAGCTTTATTTAGGGTGTAGGTCAGAGGTACAGAGGGTGAGATGATTCACCAGAGACAGAGTGGGGAGCAGTACAGGCAGATCTACCGAAATACACTGCTGAAGGGAGCAGCAGGCGAGACAGGAGAGGTCTGCTGCGCCATGTGGGTCAGCTCCCTGGCCAGGGATTGAACTGGCGCTGCAGTGGCTGCAGACAGCTTCATAGTGCTGAAACTAACCACTTGCACCACCAGGGAGGCTAATCCATCTATTTTTCTTAATAGAAATTCTCACTCCTTTACATCCCATACAAGTCCTCAAATAATAAATCAGTTGTTTTGTTCAACATTGTTTCATTACAACCTTGATGAGGAAAAAAATGAATCCCAGCCAAAGTTGAATGAAACCACCAGGACAGGCTTTAGTTAGACATTATTTTGCTTGAAATGGCAGTTTCCAAGAGCCTACGGACAAAGTTAAGGGAGTATTTGTTGTCCATAGTAGATGCTCTGCAAGTATTTGGAGAATGACAGTGGTCATACCCTACAGCCCAAACACACTGCAGACATAATTCTTACCTGTGTATGTGATTTTTTTTTTCTGGAATATTTTAATAGCACACCTGGGATGTGACTTCACCCTTAATTCCTCCGAATGCATCCCTGATGTAAACTTGTATTTAAATATAACTACCTTGCTATTATTAACAACTGTTTGATAGCACCAATACCCAGGCACATTCAGAAGGCCTGGAGGTCTCGAAAATGTCTATTTCCTGTGTGTAATCCCCTCCGTTGATGTCACAGACTGCCTCCATCCTGCCCTCCCCATCCTGTTTTCCATTTTATTTTTTCCCATAGCATTTAGTGCCATCTACCCACATAAATTTTATTTTACTATCTTACATCACTACTCCCATCAAAAAAATCACGAGCCCTCTCTTGAGGTCAGGGAATTTTGTCAGCTTTCGTCACTGCTAGTAGAGCACACTCTGGAGAAATATTAAAGTAGTAAATGTTTCAGACTGCATCATCATCCCTACAATTGTCTTATGGGGGGAATGCTAATCTTATGCTCACCTCATAGATAGGAAATTGAAGCTAGGACGGTTAAAGTTTGGGGTACACTCATTCTTTCTTAAATCCCCTTAGTGCTCTCTGGCTAATCTCTGATTTCCTTAACTTAAGCCCCTTGGGGGTCATCGTAGAGCCTCAGGTTGGGGGCTACAGAGGCTGAACGCGGGGCTGTGTCGTATGGCTGTGAACATCCCCACAAAGAATTTCGATTTTATCACGTAAAGCCTGGAAAGAGGCAGGACTCGTTCTCGGTCGGCTCAGTCGGCCGGTACCTCCCTCTCCTGCCTCTCTCTTCCGGACAGCGGTGGAAGGCGCCCAGGCACAACCTCCAGAGAGGAGCGCACGCGTAGCCCCTAGCAACGCCGCCCGAAAGAACCACAGAGACGCGGCCCGTGAGTGCAGAGCGGCCGGAGGAGACAGCGAGGAGCGGAGAGCTAGAGCGGCCTATTGTCACGTGGGCGGCCGCGCGGAGGCGGGACTTCCGGCGGCCAGGTATTTTCTTTCCGGTTGTTGGTTCCTGCCGGCCCCTCCCCGACTGGGCCCTGCGCCCCCCTCCCCCCGCGGCCCCCGCCGCCGGGCCGCCGCCACTATGAAGAAATTCTTCCAGGAGATCAAAGCCGACATCAAGTTCAAGAGCGCGGGCCCCGGGCAGAAGCTCACGGAGTCGGTGGGGTAAGTGACGGGGGCCGGGGCGAGAGGCCCGGGAGCGTGGACGGGCCGAGGAGGCTGGAGAGGCCTGGGGGCGGGAAGCGGCGGCCGAGGACCTCGGGGTGGGGAGAGACCCTAGGGGCGGGGCAAGGGGGGCGGGGTGGGTGTGTTGGGGGTGGGGAGGCCTCCGGGGGCGGGGCGAGAGGGGCGAGACCCGAGGGGGCGGGGCTGGGCAGGGAGGGGGCGGGACTGTAGGGGATCTTGGGGGTCAGTGGAGAGACCGTGAAGGGACTGCTTCGGGACATCGGGCTTAAGGGAGTCGCCAAGGCCAGATAGTGGAAGCTGTTCCCGGACAAGCGAGTGCAGCGGGGTCGCGGAGTCGTGAGGCTTAACGTCCATGGCGGTGGGGGTCTGGGCCCAGTGGCCAGAGGGAGGACCAGGAGATATTCTGGAAGACCTGGCGGCTTAAGGCCTTCCTGGAAGGGTTGTGAGGGACTGGGGCGGTCTGGGTGAATTAGGAGTGCTGGGGGAACTGAGGGTGGTCTGGGAGGTGAATGGGGAAGCAGAGGACTGTGTGATGGGAAGGAGATGGGGGCCTTGTGGTGATGGTGGAGTTGGAGTGGAGGTCCTAATGGGGATCGGGGAGGGGGCCGCACATCCAGGCCTCAGGGACTTGTTAACTGCGTCGGACTTGAAGAAGAGCGCCTGAGCAAGACCGGAGGAGACTCAGGGGTGCGTGGAGGATATAGTGAAGAGGTGGAGCCGGTGAGGATGGAGGCTGTGATAGGGGAGGCTGAGAGGGGCTGAGCTGCTGCAGGGAGTTGCAGAGGAGGTGGTGGGAACTGGTGTGTGTGGAGGCGGGTAGGGGGGGTGGGGGGGAAGAGAGAGAAGCACGCTGTGGGGGTGGGCAGGAAGGTGTGAGTGAAGAAAGATGCCAGCCTGGGGAGGGCTCAGTGGGGCATAATGGAACGGATTGTGAAGAGGTGGGGACTGTGATTGTGGGGGGCGTGGAGAGGCAGGAGAGCAGGCAGGAAAGCATAGGGACTCGTGAGGTAGTGGGGGCAGAAGAGGGAGTGTGGGTGCACACCACAGTCATCAAGGCATTTGCTGCCAGGATTGAGGGCATCTAGGGTTCTTGGTGTGGGGGCATGGAGTGGGCTACAGGAGGCCATGAGGGCCAGGTCTGTGAGTAAAGGAGGGAGCACATGTGTAAAATCCTGGGAATCTCGAAGGGAGAGGAGGGCAGGTTTGAGGAAGCCGGGGAGGAGAGGATTCAGACTTCTGTGACTCACCTGGAGCACCAGAGAAATTACAGTGTGTGGGGAGGGCACATGCCCAGTCCTGGCTCAGGACTCACCTCCTAGAGGGGGAGACGGACAAGTGATCCAGTGAACATGATGGAAGAGTTGGTGGGAGTCCGTGCTGGGAGGGAAAGCCGCAGGGCAGGGCACAGCAAGTGATGTTGGCGACTATTTGGTGTGGAAAGGTCTCTCTGAGGAGCTGATATTTGAGCTGAGAGCTGGAAAGGTGAGACTCAGGCCTATGGAAATCCACCCCCGCCCCAGAACAGCTCTGTCCTCTCTCAGACCCGCATTCCTCATCCCAGCCTGCCTTGGCAGAAGGCACTGTGGTAGGAACCTTTGGGCCTGTGTGAAGAACAGCAGGAGAACTGTGTCAGAGGCGTCTGCAGGGAAGTGGGCAGGATGTGAAGGACTCTGTAGACCCGTGGGGAGGCGCTTCCATTGTGCATGCAACCGGAGGGCTAGGTGCGGAGGCATGATATGCGCTGGTGTAGGTCTTAGAGGGAACCCTCAGACTGTCCAGCAGAGCCTTAGGTGGGGGTTCTTGGAAAATGGCATTTTTATAGAAAGATCTGGAGGTCTCATGGGGCTAGGGCAGTTTTACATGACTCAGCTGTGAGGAGGGCTGGAAGGGGGTTGTTAGCAGGGGTGGTCTGGAAGCAGGACCCAGAGGCTCTGGGGTAAGAGAAGAGGGCTGCCTGAGAGTCTCGAGTGGAGCAGGAGGAAGGCGGTCCCGATATGACAGCTGGACTCTGCAGGTCTACAGCATAGCACACGTGCTACCAAGCACTGGGGCTGGGAGAGGCCCCCGGGGGTGGGGGGAAAGGTGAGTCTGACTAGGAGGGACTTCTCTGCTGGAACAGTCTTGGCAGGTTGATTATGAAGCCCTTGTCCCTAGGGGTAATCATGTGCTTTGCCCTTAGGGTGGAGGTAAGGTCTTTGTAATATGAAGAACCCAGGACTGGTGTGTGACCTGGGGCTGCTGCCTGAAAGCACTCTCAGGATTGAAGGGAAGTCTTAAGAGTCCTCCAGAGGGGGCCTCCCCGGTGGTGCAGTGGGTTGAGCGCAGCGCTGAGAAGCTGTCCCCAGCCTCTGCAGTGTGGGTTCAATCCCGGCTGGCCGGCGAGAATCCCACATGGCGCGGCAGACCTCTCCTGTCGTGCCCGCTGCTCCCCTCAGCAGTGTGTTTTGGTCCTTCTGCCTGTTCTGCTCCCCACTCTGTCTCTGGTGAATCCTCTCACCCTCCCACGCCTCTGGCCTGCACCCCAGCTCTTGTATAAAAATAAATAAATTTTAAAAAAAAGACTTCTCAGAGGGATGGTGTGAGGACACAGGCTGAGCCATAATGAGCTCCCTACGTGCTGCGGGCACACAGCCAGTGCTCGGTGCAGGACGCTGGCATCACAGCCCTTGTAGGGAGTAAGGGTGGAGAGCCTTGCTCAGGGAAGGCAGCGAGGAGCAAGGATGTGGTACTTTGGTTCTCAGTGATTCCTGAGGACAGAAGGATGCCCACACACATGCTTCCCCTGCCAGCTCCCGGGGGCTGAGTGCTTTTCCCCCCACTTAACAGACATGGCTCTGGGACCAGGACTGTCCAAAGGGAGTGGACCTAATCTAGCTCCAGGGCTTGTCCCCCTGTTAGAATCTTCTGGTGGCTGTGGGTGACCCATGGGAAGGAGGAGTGTGTCTGACAAGGTGGGGAGAAGTAGGAGAGGGAAGGAAGTTCTTCCAGCGAACCTCATATCACCTCTCTTTCTGTCTCCAGGGAGAAGGCCCCCAAAGAAAAGCCCACCCAGGTAAGCCTCAGGCAACCTCGCCAGGGCCCCACCGATGAGGCACAGAGGGCGGCTGCAGCGGCCCTGGCCAGGCTTGAGCAGAAGCAGCCCAGGGCCCGGGGGCCCACATCGCAGGACGCCATCCGGAACCAGGGTGAGCTGTGGACATCTTTGGGCAGTAGGGGCAGGAGTGGTAGAGCAAGATCCGTGCGTGCCACATACGCCCTCTGTCCTTGAGATCAGGCCACCTTGTGCTTGGTCCTGGAGGAAAGTAATTCCTTGACCCTTGACTTCGGGGGATGGCTAAAATCGCAACTGTGAGAGTGTTTTCAAAGGGGAAGTGCAGAGTGGAACAGCATAGCGAGGGGTCTGATGTGGTCTGGCAGGACGGATGTCAGGGAGGTTGAGGAAAGGAGAGAAGATCTGAGATGAGGAGGAAGGAGGGAGAAGAGGAGAAGGTGGAGAAGGCAGAGGAGCAGGAGGAGGTGGTCAGGCGGAGCCTGGGGGCTTAAGCAGAGGGGCTGCTTTCCTCCTGGAAGCAGCACTAGCACTTGACTCACAGGCGGGTCATCGGCAGCACTTAGATTCAGCTGCTCTGGGAGAGGCCAGTCTGGGGGCCAGACACTGATCTGTCTCTTTCTCTCCTTGTGTTTCTCCTTCCAGTGAGAAAGGAACTTCAAGCTGAAGCAACTGTCAGTGAGAGCCTGGAGGCCCCAGGGACTAAAATGGTAAGAGCACCCCTGGCAGCATCACTGCTGGCGCCTGCACGGGGCCCTGGGGATCGCAGAGCTGCCCGAGTTCACACCCGCCTTAGTCTAGTTGGCTGTGTCCTCATCTCCAGCCGGTGCCTAGCTCCGGGCTCTGGGGGCTGGAAGTGGCCCCTACAGTGGAAGTGGGAATACAGAAGAGACAATAGGGTTGACCAAGGTTACTTCTGGCCTTAAGGCAGATTGGAGAAGCCTTGAATGGTGTACGTGGGTTGTAGTCGAGGGCAGTGTTGACTGATTCTCTGACTCAGCACATGAAGCCCCACAGGCTGAGGGATGGACTGGACTCCCCATAAGCTTGATGGTTTCCTTGAAGGTGGGCGCCATTGTGATTCCCATTTCTCAGAAACCTGAGATTCAGAGGTGAAGCCTGCTGTCCTTAGTCACATACTCCCATCCCAGCAGGGGCAGGCCAGGAGCCCCCGACTGTCTGACTCCTGATCCCATCCTTAGCACTGCAGCCTGGCTCAGAGGTAGGAGGCTCCTTGGATGCTAGTGTCATCAGGGAGACCTTCCTGGTGGAGATAGGCCTTAAAGGAGAGCTTGACAGAAAAAATATTCTGATTTGGGCCTCCCCGGTGGCGCAGCGGTTGAGCGCTGGGTTGCGAAGCTGCCCGCGGCCTCTGCGGCGCCGGTTCGATCCCCGGCTGCTTCCCGGCCACCAGCAGAGGATCCCACATGGCGCGCAGACCTCTCCTGCCGCCCGCTGCTCCCCTCAGCAGTGTACTTCGGTCCTTCTGCCTGCTCTGCTCCCCGCTCTGGCTCTGGTGAATTCTCTCACCCTCCCGCGCTTCTGACTGTACCCAGTGCATGTATAGACAAAACAAACAAACAAACAAAATAAATAAATAAAACATGCCTCTATAAAAAAAAAAAAAAATAAAAAAAAAAAATAAAATATTCTGATTTGCTCAACCTGTGATTCTCACTGAATTTTAGAATGGAAGAGACCCTAGAATTGCCTAGGAATTGAGGCCCAGAGAGAGGCTGGAACTTGGCCAGGACACTGTAATTCCTGACTCCATCCCAGAGCCTATTTCTCACCAGGTAGGGGACAGGAACAGTCAGAGCCGCTGCCTGATGCCTACGCCGTGTCAAGCTGCCACATGCATTCCGTTCCCCACCTTGTTTAACTCTAAGGAACATTTAACAGACCAGAAAACAGACTCAGAGAGCTTCAGTCACTGGGCTAGGTGCCCCATGGTGTTAGGTCAGGCATGCCAGGGCCCAGGGACACACCCTCAGGGCTGTGGCACTCGGTGACCCAGGGTGGCCTCTGTCCACAGTCCAGACTCAGACACTTTTATATCCCCATGATCCCAGGTGCCTGAGCCCAAAGAGGAAGGCTCCACCCACCTAACAGTGCCTGGAGTGTACTTCACCTGCCCACTCACAGGTGCTACTCTGAGGAAAGACCAGCGGGAAGCCTGCGTCAAAGAGGCCATTCTCTCGGTGAGTGCTGCCCCCTCCCAGGTGCCCGAGAAGCCTTCAAGCTCACCTGGGTGACGCAGATTCCTTGTAATGTTCCTGCCTGCTTCTGTGGTGTTTGTCTTGCTTGTGTTTGTTTTAATCTCTCTAAAGAGGTAATACTTTCAAGCCGTACAGAATTTTTTAGAAAGAGCAAAAGATGGAGAAAAGTACCCCCGGGCCCCAGGCAAGCATTGTAAGTGGTTTAAGTCTCTTTTCACATAGAGTCCAAATCTGTCCAAACTCTTGCTATACTTTTATCTTCTCCTGGTTTCTTTAATTTCTGTTTTAAAAGGAACTATACCATTCACTTATAGAAACCTGGAGGTTTTATTTCGGTATAGAACAAAATCCCACATTGTTTTCCTTAAAACTCTATAATTGGTAATAATTTCAAGCTTAATGAAAAATTGCAACAACAAAAAACAAAACAAAAACACCTAAAACCTTTACCCAGGATATGAGTTTTCTGTTACTGTTACAACTCACTGTGAGGGTGTAGCTTTATAAAGGACACATTCATTATCTGACGATTCTGCAAGTCAGATGCCTGACATGGGTCTCATGGGGCTAAAGTCAAGGTGGCAGTAGGTCTGGTTCCTTCTGGAAGCCCTAGGGGAAGAGTCACTTTGCTGCCTTTTCCAGCTTCTGGGCTGCCTGATCCCTGGGCGTGTGGCTCCTTCCTCCGTCTTCATAACCGGCAGTGCCACCTCTGCTGCTCTCTTCCATCCCACGCTTCCCTTTTGCTTTTGTTTTTTTAAGATTTATTTATTTATCATACAAGAACTGGGGTGCTCTGTCTCTGGTGAGTCCTCTCACCACTCTTCCCTTTTAAGGGGCCTTACGACAACTGGTCCGGCAGGCAGGATAGTCCATGCTAATCTGCCTATTTTAAGGTGGCTGAGTTAGCAGTCTTAAGTCTACCTGCCGTGTAACTTAGCATATTTACGCTTCCAGGGATTAGGACACGAGCATGGTATTTCTCGTGCCCTTACCCAATTTACCAAGTGTTAACAATTTTGCCCCATTTGCTCTGTCACCAGTTTCTTTTTTTTCCTGCACTATTTGAGAGTGATTGTATAATGCTTTACTTCTAAGTTATCGATAATGATGTAACAAGTCCCCGCTGGTGAGCATGTAGAAAGTTTTTAGTCTTTGAGAATAAGAATAGTTAGGCAATGAAAATTTTTGTATACTTCGTACCATGGCTAAGTTCCAGAAATGGAGTTCCTGGGATGCAGGACAAGTACTTGGGAATTTGGATAATTTTAATCAGTTGAACCTCCATAGGGGTCATCCCAGTTACATTCCCAGGAGCAGTGTGTAAGAAAGCACCATTTACTTGGCTCTCACTGTCACTATGGGCTAACAAACTTTTGATCCTTCCCCAAATTGATATGTAAACTTGATATCTCAGGATAGTTTTAATTTGCATTTCCCTTATTTTGGGTTAAGTTCCAGCTTCTGGGCTGCCTGGATCCCTGGGCTTGTGGCTCCTTCCTCCATCTTCATAACCAGCGGTGACAGCCGAAGTATGACAGACCAAGTCTCGTGTTTTCATGAGACTGCATCTTTGCCCATTTTTCTGTTAATGGTTGGTCTTATTGATTCGTAGGTACTCTTTATATATTAGGGAAATTAGTTTTTCAACATTGTGATCTTTGATCGTGGATTTTTTTTCCATTGTAAATTTTTTAACTCTTCTTATGGACACTTTGTCATATGGAAATATTTTTTCCCTTGTAGAAATTTTTGATCTCTCTATAAGTAAATGTGTCAATTTTATGTGATGGTTTTTGGATTCTGTGTCTCATATAGGCCTTCCCAAACTTGGTATTAAAAAAGTTTTCCATGGTGTTTCTAGTGCTTTTTTGTTTTGCTTTTATTTTTTTAAATTTTTTAGATTTTTTTATGCACACAAGACTGGGTTCTGGCCAGAGGTGTGGGGAGTGAGAGGAATCACCAGAGACAGAGTGGGGAGCAGAACAGGCAGATTGACTGATATACACCGCTGAGGGGAGCAGCAGGCAAGTCAGGAGAGCTCTGCTGTGCCATGTGAGTAGCTCCCTGTCTGGGGATTGAACACGTGCTGCAGCAGCTGCTGATAGCTTCATAGGTTGCATCTTAACCCCTTGTGCCACCAAAGAGGCCCTTGTTTTGCTTTTAGCTGTTTGTTTTAATGTTTAATGCTTTGATCCCAATGGAAGTTGTCCCTGTGTAGAGTATGAGGCATGTAAAATATAAGGCTTGGAGCCAGTGTTATTTCTTCCCTGATAGCTACCCAGTTTCCCCACCCCCTCAACCCTTTTTATTGAAAACACCCATGTTGCAACACAGCTGTGAAATGCACTCTTTTCCTAAAGTAAAATCCTATGTGAAGTTGGGATCCTTTCCTGAAGTTTGCAGGAAAGTTGACTCCTATTGGACTAGACTTCCAAATGACACAAATATGTTGCTGAAGGCTCCCCCCACCCCCACCCCTTGCAGTACAGAGGCAGCTGGGGCATCTAGAGGACCAGCCAGCCTGCCTGCCAGGAACTCTGAGCCTTCAACAGGCTACTTGGGTACACTTGTGTCCTGGGTCAGCTGTGCTCTGAAACATCACCAGGTGACCCTAATGTTCTGTGAGCCCCACAACCTCTTCAAAGTTCTAGCTGTGGTTTCTCCCTTCTCCAGGGAAGCAGGTGGAACACACAAGGCAAGGGGACTGGTCAGTGTATCTCTGCTATTGGCTTCTCCTGCTGTGCACCAGAGACAAGGTCACACGCCCTCCTCTTTTGTGTGACCCTGGATGAGGGGCTTCCTGCCTCTATTTCATCTAAAAATCTAGGAGTCATCCAGAAAGTCAGTCACAGAACTGTGAGATTAGGAGGAATGTTCTGGCTATAGTAGCTGGAGGGTTCCAGGTGCTCAGACAACTAGCTGCCCTCACAGGGGTTCGCTGTTGAACTTGGGTTCTGAAGCTGCCACATAGGGCAGAGAGATGCATCAGATTGACCCTCAGAAATGCCCCCTTGTCTCCAGTGGTGGGCACAGGCTGAGGCATCGAGGGAGCCATCAGAAGCTTTTTTCCACTCTTGTCTCTGAGCATCCATGATTGAGTTACTTCAGTTAATGCTGCCAACTTCCTGTGCACCTGGCATTACTATTGGCACCTTGTTTACTGGTGACATCTGAGCAGAGATGGGGCAGGGTAGATGTGGCTTCCTGGTGACGTGCCCCCCCCTGCTCTAACTCCAGCACTTCTCCACTGACCCCGTGGCTGCCTCCATCATGAAGATCCACACCTTCAACAAGGACCGGGACAGGGTGAAGCTGGGTGTGGACACCATCGCCAAGTGAGTGGGCAGCCCCCAGGCACCACCCGAGTTTCCAGTGCCCTGCACCTTCCAGGCGCCACCCTTTCCCCCTCCGTTGGGACCTGCTGAGGGGGCTTGGAAGGAACAAGGCCCTGGGAGTGGGGCTAGGCCCCATCCTCATCCCCCCAGAGCCTCACCGGGCCTCATTTCACCTGTCTGTGAACAAAGGGGTCTACTGAATCGGGGGTTTCCAACCATAGTGTGGTTCCACCCATGTGATGACAGCTCCTCTAGAGTTACTTTGTGGTTTCTTTTTCACCAAAGGCCTTCTCTTGCCCCTCTGTTCCACCCTAGGTACCTGGACAATATCCACCTGCATCCTGAGGAGGAGAAGTATCGGAAGATAAAGCTGCAGAACAAGGTGTTCCAGGTGAGTGCTGCCGCCCAGCATGCCCAGCCTGTGGCCTCTGTGGTGACCCTGGGCCCAGTGCGGGGAGGGGGCAGCCAGTTGCCTGAGCTGGCCTGGGAGAGCTCCTCCAGGGACTGCAAGTTGGGGCAGGCAGAAGGTGGCAGACAAGGATGAGAGCTTTGTGCAGATGCCCACACATTGTCTGCTCCTAGTCCTCTCCCAGGGGTGTTTGGACTTCTGAGTCACTTGAGAATGCCTCAGCACTGAGTTGCTGGTAGAAACTCTGTGGCCTCTCCTTAGATAGTTGTACCTTGCCGGAATCTTTGGGGTTTGTCCCACCTAGGTGTCAGTCGCTCCTTTAACGGGGGACTCTGGGCTCTGTGGGACTGGGGGGTTGACAAGGCCTGGGAGCCCCATATGACCTCCAGCCTCACTCCTAGGAGCGCATTAACTGTCTGGAAGGGGCTCATGAGTTCTTCGAGGCCATCGGCTTCCAGAAGGAATTGCTTCCGGTTCCCAATCAGGGTAAGAGGAACAGAGAGGGGCCTTGGCTGAACAGGTGGGGATGGGAGGGGCCTGGCTGGGGTAGGGAGCTCACTGTTCAGCAGAGTGATGCTCCTGCCTGCCTCAGAGGACCCAGAAGAGTTTTACGTGTTGAGCAAGGCCGCCTTGGCCCAGCCACAGAGCCTGGAGAAGCACAAGGAGCAGCTGCTGAGTGCTGAGCCCGTGCGTGCCACCTTGGCCCGCCAGCTCCGGGTCTTCCGGCCCTCACCCCTGGCCTCCCAGTTTGACCTGCCAGGGGATTTCTTCAACCTCAGCTCTGAGGAGATCAAGCGCGAGCAGAGGCTGAGGTGGGCAGGGCTCCCTGGAGCTGGGCTGGGGCAGAGGGGGCTTGGAGGCCCTGGGGTTTGGCCTTTCAGAGCCTAACTCTCACGATGCCCAGGTCTGAGGCTGTGGAGCGGCTGAGCGTACTGCGGACCAAGGCTATGCGGGAGAAGGAGGAGCAGAGAGAGATGCGCAAATATAGCTACACACTGCTCCGCGTGCGCTTCCCCGACGGGTGTCTCCTGCAGGGTATGTGTGCAGGGCTAGCGTTGTAGGGAAGGGGCCCGGGCAGCCTCTTCTGGGGGAGCTCTCTTGGGGCCTTGGAGGTGGCATCTGTGCTGATAGGGTGACAGCTTTTGGCTGTGGGCTTGCTGTGCCTGCCTCTCCAGGAGTGAAAGGCCTTCCTGGTCAGATCGACCCCCCAGAAGATACCCCAGATGTCTTCAGATGCTTCTGATACTGACATCTTAGGGGCTAGAGGCCCTGGGGGGCTCCACAGCTGACTTCCCTACGCCCCCCCCAACTCCCAGGAACCTTCTATGCCAGAGAAAGGGTGGCGGCTCTTTATGGGTTTGTCCGGGAGGCCTTGCAGAATGACTGGCTGCCCTTCGAGCTGCTGGCCTCTGGCGGGCAAAAGTTGTTGGAGGATGAGAACCTACCCTTCAATGAGTGTGGACTGGTGAGTGATTGGGGGGGGGGGGGCGGCATGCCCCACAGGGGTCTCTGGGTTCTCCTCGATCTGGCAGAAACTCCAAGGAGGGCAGTGCTCTTTAGTTTGGGAGGCAATAGGAGTGAGGTCCCAGGGCCAGGCCCCCTAGGTCACCCCATCTCTCCACTTACTCGCAGTGTGACCTTGAGGGAATAACTTCCGTGTGCTCCAGTTTCCCACCTATAAAACGGGAACACAGCAGATGTGTTAGTTCTGGTCCTCTGAGGAGCCAGAACCAAGATGGGATTGGAAACGCAGGGTTTTACTGGGGAAGCAGGAGGCCTGAGCAGGAATTCCCACTGCTGCCTGGTCTGGTGGCTTCAGCCACACAGGGTGGGACGGGACACCCCTCACTGCAGGAATGGGCCCGACTGTGCTGTCACCAGAAGGGGGCAGCACCAGTGAGTGAGGCCCAGCATTGAATGTTGAGACGACCAGTCACACTTCAGTGTCTGTCCCACTGTAGGTGCCCTCAGCCCTCCTGACCTTCTCGTGGGATGCGGCTGTGCTGGAGGACATCAGGGCCGCAGGGGCCCAGCCGGACTCCGCCATCCTGAAACCCGAGCTCCTGTCTGCCATCGAGCAGCTCTCATGAAATAAAAGCAGGGTTGGCTTCCCCCTCACGGGTCTGTCTCATGCTCTTCTCATCCACCACTGCCCCCACCCTGACCACTCCAGGCCCTCCCTGAGGGCAGGGCACTGGTGGGTGCAGACACGTGCCCGTGATTGTGGCCCACTGAGGGCCCTTGGGGCAGCTGCCTTGCTGTCTGCAGGAGTACTGGATCTCAGCCTTGTCCAACTGCTCTGTACCAGTTGATCAGAAGCCTGGGCACCACGAGTGTGGGCGCCTCGCTGGGCAGGAGAGCTGGCTGCGGCTGGGGCCAGTCCTCAGGAGCTGTGGCCCCAGTGGCCCTGAGGCTGCCTTGGGGGGCTGCTGGTGACCGATCCAAGAGAGGCGCTGGGACTAGCAGGACACAGTTGTGTAATGACTTAATTATGAACCCAAATAAATAGAACGTTTGCCTAGTCTCTAGTGGTTAATTCAAGGTGTGTGATGCAGGGGAGGGCCAGCAGCTGCAGAGTGGCTCCTGGTGGAGGACCACTTGGGGGTCGTCAGCATGCAGGAACCCACGCTCTATATGTACTTTTCTGGGCACCCGGAATCCATAACTCTGTCGCCACCCCCAGACCCGCTGACCTTGCTGACGGCAGTTGTTCCAAGTCCACGGGGCTGAGGCCCAGAACCACAGTCCTCATAGATGGCCACGCCTTCCCTCTGCAACCTGGGAGTGTTCCTTTGTGTAACGAAAGACTCCGCAGGTGTGACTCGGGAGACCAGGTTATGCCGGTGGGCTTCGTGTCGTCACGGGTTCTTACATGGGCGGAGGCAGACATGAAAGATGCTATTCTGCAGGTTTCAGAGATGAAGGGGCCAGGAAGCCTCTAAAAGCCAAGGCAAGGAAATGCACTACTTCCTAGAATTTCTAGAAGGAGCCAATCAAGGTGCCTTGACTGTAACCCCGCAGGGCCTGTGTAAGACTTCTGTTGTCACGGGGGGCTCACAAGGTGTGGAAGGCACGTGGCCCTGGTCAGTAACAGCAGGGGGAGACTGAGCCTGTGCTTTTCACTACCAGCCCAGAGTATCCTCTGCCTCTCACCTCCCTCCAGCTCTGGTCTCCCGTCTCCCACCTGTCCCCGTATCCTCTGCCTCTCACCTCCCTCCAGCTCTGGTCTCCTGTCTCCCACCTGTCCCCGAGTGGAGGTGTGTGGAGCCACCTAGCTAGCCACCTGCCGGCTAGCTGATGGACCTGAAGCTTCAAGGCTCCTCCTTTATTCTTCAATATCCAGAAGAGAAGGTTTCTTATGAGAAGGGGGGAGAAGGGTCACTTCCACAGACACCAGCAGGCAGAAAGCTGCCCCTGCTGCTTTGCAAAGGGAGGAGATTGGCGAAGAGACACCTGCAAAGGCACAAGAGCTGCTGCCAAGGCTCCTCTTGTTTTAACACTTCCTTATTATACTCAGTAAGTAAAAGCCCCTTGGGGCCCCCAGGTAGTAAGCCCCCCCACATGCCTGTGCCTCACACAGGGACACCAGCCACTCTGGCCTCACATCTGTCACCCTGGGAGGAATGGCAGTACCTGGGCCTGTCCTCCTCACCCCGTCTCGGGAACCCATGCATCCCCTTCCTGTCCCTAATTGCTTTGAGCACCCAAATGACAGTTGGGTACCCAGCTGAAATGAGTCCAAGGGCACCTGCCTGACAGGGGTTGTCACATGCATAGGAGTCTAATACAGGATGCTGCACCCTCCTCCGACAGGAGGATCCTGCCTAGGGCCAAGGCCCTCCCCCGCAGCTGGGGTGTTTGTCAGCCCCACTCAAACAGGGCTGGGGAGCAATGAGCCCCTGGAGAAACAGGGTCTTGGCTGCCACATGGCAAGAGCCGAAGGGCAGACCTTTGCTGTGGGTGAGCTGCCTCACGTAGCTGGTTGTCCCCCCTGGGGTAGCAGGAATAAAAATGACTACGCGAGAGGCTGGGAGGACAGAGCCCAGCTCATCAGGTGGTCCCGTGAACTCGGCCAAAACCTCAGCTCTCCTAAGCCGTCAACATGCTCAGCTGCTCCCCGGGGGCCATCCCTGCCCTGTTAGGACCTTGAGACCAGGGCTCTGGAGTCATCATGGCGGGATCCACATTTCCCAGCTTCAACATCTCCCAAAGGGAGGCCAGGCCCGGCTGGTCACCTCAGGACTCGGGTCCTGGCACTGGGAATATCCCCTGCCCACCCACCTACGGGCAAGGAGGGGCCCAAGAACACACGCGCCTGCAGGAAGCCTCCCTCCGGCGGGGGGCAGAGGGGTCCCGTAGCGTCTACGCAATGCCCGGCGAGGTGGCGGGGTCGGGGGCGCGCAGAGGAGTCCACAGCACGGCAGAGGGGGCGCGCACCCGCCCGCAGACAAGAGGACACACGCCAGGTCAGGGCCAGACAAGTTTATACACGTCCGCGTCAGGTCCCCGCGCCGCAGCGAGCCCCGGGCGGGCCTCCAGTTCATTTCCACGCCCGTGGCCACGGCGCCTGCCGAGGGAGGCGGGAGGCTGGCCGGGCTTTCCCGTGGAGCCGGTACACTGCGGTAATGCTTTATTAGAGGGCGGGTGACAGGCAGCTTCTGGGGGGGAGTTTTTACAAATGTCAGAAAGAATGAATCAAGCATCCTCTATAAAACTCTCCAAACCTCCGGGGGAGGTCTGTGAAGCAGGACAAAGTGCTCTTTACACAGGAATCGTAGGGCTTTCAAGTATCTGAGAGGCGTCGAGAATCCCCTAACCAGCTACGTACACGCACGGGCGGCGGGGCTCAGGAGGGGATCTCGCCGGTGTCCATTCCCACTGAACTGCTGCTTTGGGGGGCGGCTTCACACAGGGCCGGGACCTCTGCAAGGCAGACAGGGAGGGGGGTTCAGCGGCCACGCTGCCAGCCGTGCTGCTCTCGGTCAGTGGGCACCTTCCCGGGGCGGCCCCCACTGATCACGGGAAAAGGAGAGGCTGTAGCTCTCAGGTTATACAGGGGCTTAGGTCACTGGTGCCCCCCAAACCCACCCACCCCTTGAGACCCTTCTGCCCTGATGCCCACCCATGCCCCCGGGGCTCTCCTCAGCAGCCTTCAGTTCTTCCACCCCCTGAACGGAGCTTTCAGGCCAACACAGCCTTCAGCCCCGGACCGGAACCAGCGATGCACACCCACCACGAGGCGGCCCACCAACGCCCCTGGGTCTGTAACCCCCCTGTGCACCCACTGTGTATAAAAGGGGCGCCCAGGAGAGCGGGCAGGCACTCCCGTCCCGCCAGCCCTTCTCACCCCCAACATCCGGGACGTCCATGATCACACAGTCGCCGTCCTCTTCCTCCTCTTCCTCCGTGTCTGCCTGGAAGCCGTCCAGGTCCCCAGCCCCCACCTGGTCAGGCAAGCACAGACGTCAGCAGCGGCGCTGGCAGGGACACGGCGCCGGAGGGCCTCCTGCGCGGGCCTCCACGCGGCGCTCTCTGCCTTTACCCACTCCGGGCGTCTGCTCTGTGACCAAGGGCAAGCCTGGGGGGTTGTCTCAACGAACAGAGTAAATTCAGGTCTCTGCGAACTACTGTTGCTCTTCACCTGATTAAAAACTAATTTGCAAATGGCTTCTGATTAGAATTTTGGGTTTCAGGTTTGGTTTGAAACTGAAATTGATGAGAGAACTGAGGGAGGCGGCACTTTCCATTCCAGCATCTCCCAACAGCTCAGCCCCTGCAGCTGGCACCTGACAACCCTCTCACGTAACTTAGGCTCAGATCAGTTTAGCCAGGAAGAATACCATCCGGGTAGCTGTGGACAGCAGTGAGGAAAGATGTGGACGGGTGGGAAGGTCTCTCCTACGGCTGTGAATTTTTTTTTTAAGATTTATTTATTTATACAAGAGCTGGGGTACAGGCCAGACACGCAGGAGGGTGAGAGGATTCACCAGAGACAGAGCAGGGAGCAGAACAGGCAGATGGACCGAAAACACTGCTGAGGGGAGCAGCGGGCGAGACAGGAGAGGTCGGCCGCACCATGTGGGAATCTCCCTGTCCTGCCAGAAATTGAACCGGCACCGCAGAGGCTGCGGACAGCTTCACAGCCCTGCGCTCAACCCGCTGCACCACCGGGGAGGCCCCCAGCTGTGAATTTCTAATGAAGATTCTTGAGCCATTTTCACTAGAGGAGGCAGAAAATATTAGGACACACATTAAACATCAGCCATTTTCTCTCTCTCTCTCTTTTTCTCTCTCTCTCTCTCTCTCTCAACTTAAGGGAACCAGCAGGAGAGGTGGAGACAGGCTTATTTCAACAGAGAGGCTATTTTCCAAAACACTTCTAGAATTCCTGTTACAAAAAAAAAAAAATCTCCAGGGCCTCCCCGGTGGCGCAGCGGTTGAGCGCCGGGTTGCGAAGCTGCCCACGGCCTCTGCGGCGCTGGTTCAATCCCCGGTTGCTCCCCGGCCTCCCGAAGAGGGTCCCACATGGCGCGCAGACCTCTCCTGCCGCCCGCTGCTCCCCTCAGCAGTGTATTTCGGTCCTTCTGCCTGCTCTGCTCCCCGCTCTGGCTCTGGTGAATTCTCTCACCCTCCCGCGCTTCTGACTGTACCCAGTGCATGTATAAACAAAACAAACAAACAAACAAACAAATAAATAAATAACATGCCTCTATAAAAAAATAAAATAAAATAAAATAAAAAAAAAAGATTAAAAAAAAAAAAAAATCTCCATTTGCCTGGAAAAGGGACGACGAAGTGACCAGACTAAGATCTGCAGCCCACTTCCCTGGCTTGCTCAACAGGCCCTATCAGTTCCTGGTGGATTAGCTTCATCACCAGATTCTGCAGGTGGACAGAAGCCAAAGACACCACCAAGAGAGGAGTTCCCCTGGGAGGATGCTACGGACCGTTTTCAGGTACCTGTCACAAAAGAATTGTTCAGCAAAGAAGAGCAGAACTGTCCGGCTCTCGACTGTGCTGATGAGAGCCACCTGGCAGCAGACATGTTTGGTTGGGCCTGTTAAGCCACAGGAACAAGTATCTTTACGGTGCTAGGAATTCTGTGTAAAGAGCATATCCCCAGCCACAGGGCCCCCAGACAGGAGCTGCAAGTGTGACGAATAAAGGTTTATCTAGATCCAAACTCTCCAGAGAAATCACCACCCTTGACCCTGCCGGCACACTACAGCTTGTAAAGAACTCTGAGGTGAGAGTTTAGGATGCCACCAGGTCCGCTGTGCTGAGAGCTGCCAGCAGCTGCTAGAAGGGGAAAGTGCACCAGCTGCGGTCACCACTGCCCGGGGCAGACGCAGAGATGCACAGGGAGGACAAGCCAAGGACTCGGTGGTGGAGGATGCTTAGTGACAGGAAGATGCAGACTGTGTAACACCTGTTGTTCTTCTAGTTCCACTTTGATGACAGAATAATTTTACTGTTAAGGGCAAGCAGACTCTGCTCTTTCTAAAACCGTGGCCTAAAGAGTTGAGTCACCCTGGGCCCACACAGATGCTTGGCAGCAGAACTGATGTCCACCTCAGCCACATCAGTCTCATTAGACCCTAATACCTGAGGTCCCACAGGTATCACTATCTGGAACTCTAAAGATCTAAAAATCCTCACAAATGAAGAAAATCCAACCCACCCTAACACAGTTACACACATTTAGAGTTTAGCATTAACTATCCCTGAGGGTTCAGAAGGATTAGTGAGTAGCTTTACCAAAACTCAAGGGCAGCATCCACGTCCTCCTGAGCCCCCCATGCTGCCTTCCAGTGACCTGTCCCTCCCACCCTGTGCTGATGCCGTGCAGTGGCCGGCTCTGCTCAGTGGATACCACCAGAATGTTCTTCCACCCATTCTGCCAAGAGCAAGCAGAATTCTGTTCCGAATACTGGTAGTTAAGACTCATCTCCCCAGTGCCTCCTGCAACAAGGGTGGCTGAGCCTTTGGGCAAGACATAGGTGGAAGGCGCCTAGGGAAGGCTCAGCAGCCCATGCCCTGCTGGCTGGAGGTAGAGCAGCTGCCTGTGCCCAGACACAGCCTCACATCAAGGGAGAGGGCGTGGAAGACAGGAGGAGCCTGGCCCCGGGCAGTGTGCCATGGATCGGCCCTTGTTGCTGGAGACAACCCTACAACAGGCGCGAGCCGTGATCCAAAGGGCGGTCACCCGTGGCCTGACATGATCCTGGGGTCCAAGAGTTGTTGAGCAGAGGGGTCCCACCTCCAGCACCCTAAGGAGTGGCTGGGATTAGTGCCCATGGAACTGCTGAGACCAAGGGGCTCGGCACTTCCCTCCTCCAGACGCACCCGCCGTGCTGGCCTGGGCTGTGGTCCTGGGCCCTTTGCCGGGGGTTCTGACACCTGCTGAATCAGAATCACTGGGGCTGGTGTTCCAGAACTCCAGACATTTTGCACGCCTCCCCCGGCAACGTGCAGGCCCAGAACAGTCTCAGACTCCTGCATGGTGTGGTTAACCCTGAAACTGGGCCAGCCCACAACTCATTCTGTGCGGCGTCAGGGAGTGTCATCAGAGCGCTGAGTCCACACAAAACGTCCCGCCCCCATGAGCGAGGAGATCACACCGACCACACAGTGTGATCACGGCTGAAACCCCATTACACTGACTCCAGGTGTATGCTGTCTCGCACACCCCGTCTCCTTCCAGGAGGAGCACGCTAGCTGAAGCTCTTTCCTAAGGCTCGTTAAGATGGGAAGCTTCTCTCCACCACTGCGATGTAGGGCATGAGGTGACAGGTCACAGGGGCTAACGAACTTCCCACAGAGAAACACGGGTTACGCGCATGAGCGAGGACCACCACAGCGAGGGTGAGGGCTGACTGATGGGGGCAGAGGCCTGCAAACACAGTTGAATGGTAGCACGTCAGCTGGCCTCACCCACTTTCCAACTGCAGCTGGGGTTCCTCTGGTGTTTTAACTAGAGGCAGCCATGTTTGGACACTTCAGAGTAACAATGGCTACCAGATCACAGCACCAACAAAAGCCCTGAGAATGAAACTCGCTGCACGGAACACAACACAACACTAAAAAGAAACGAGGTGTCAAGCCACGAAAAGACACGGAGGAAGCGTAACTGCACACACTACTCAAGAAGCCAGTCTATGCGGTGCAATCCCAGCTCTACAACATTCTGGAAATGATGAAACTGTCAAGACAGGAGAAGTGCTTGCCAGGGACCAGGGGAGGGGGAATGACGAGGTAGACAGAGAGCATTTTATTGAGTGAAATTACTCTGTGTGACGCTGAGAGGGAGGCCACATGGCATTATCCAAACCCAGGGAACGTACGCGACCAAGATGAACTCGTGTCAGCCATGGGCTCTGGGTGACAGCCATGTGTCACCGTAAGTTCATCCATGCAACGAACACCCTCTTTGGTAGGGGATATTGCATGTGGGGGAGGTTGTGCATGTGGGGTGTTGGGTAGATGGGAATTCCTGGCTCCCTCTCACTTCTGGACAATTTTGTCACTTTGATTTTGCTGTGAAACCTGCAACATTATAAAATAGAAACCTTATGAAGAATGAAACGCCACCTTGTGCTCTCACCCCACCCGGCTCACCTGCCCGTCGTGCCTGCGCTTCTTCATGAACTGGGTGATGCACATGCTGCCCGCAGACTTCCTCTTCAGCGGCACAGGTGTCCCCTGTCCAGGCCCCACAGCAGGGACGTTGCCACTGTCCTCCTTGATGGCTGAGGGCACCATGGTGATGTAACTCCACTGGCATGGCACAGGCAGGTGCTCCTGGTCAAAGCTCTTCAGCACCTGCGGGTGGACGTACCAGCACATCCTGAAGTCAGGCCTCTTCTCGTACACCGAGTTCTCGGAAATAATCCGCTTGAGTCTGGCTTTGGAGGGGACAGCGGTGTCCTCGCCAGCAGTAGGAGTCTGTGGGCGTGAGGAGCCAGGGCTTGGGGGGCTGGCGGAACTGCTCTCAGGACTGCCGATGTCCCTGCCAAGCAGTCCCCGGCGGCAGCACTCCTGGAACTCCTGGATGATCACTTTGCTTCCGTTCACGTTCCCGTGCAGCAGCGGGAGCAGCTGGGCCAAGACTAGCAGGGAGAAAGGGAATGATCATCGGGCGCAGCCTCCGTGTCACCCAGGCCAAGACATGATAGCTTCAGGGCCTTTTAAGTGGGGCTTGAAGATACTCTGGAGCCCACATGTCACAGGCTGGGGTGAGGATAAACCACCCTGCGCCATTCATGCCCTGTCCTTCCTTAGTGATGGTGGCTACGCCCTCACCCTGGGTCACCGGGCTCCCCTGAGGAGGCCGCCGTGTATTGGGGTAGTGTGTGACCTCAGGTCAGCCTCCTCTGAGTCTCTGTCCTGGTTAGTGAAACGAGTCAAATAGTTGCCTCATACTGTGACTATCAGAGGACAGATGTGCTGAGCAAACTCTGGTTTTGCTATTTATTCAAAGAACTATCAATCCAGTTGTCTAATGAAGTTCCCCAGCACCCAGGGGCAGCGGGAGCCACCCTCTCCACACCACACACCCTCGCCAGCACTCACTCTGCTGGTCTCTCTTCTCCCTCTTGGAGGACTTGGGCGTCTGCTCCTCCTCGGAGGGGACGGTCTCCAGGACACACGCTGTGAACTGCTGTAGCACCTTGAGGTCGGCGCCACTGTCCCCGTCGGATGCCCAGATGCAGCCGATCTTCACGGGCTGGAGCACTCGGAACCTCTTCCCCTTGGCTAAAAACTCATCCCACTCCTTGGCTTTCAGTTTCTGGCGAACCTTGTGGTTCTCCGGGTCAGCACACTCCTGGGAGGGAAGAGTAGAGGCTCACTGAGGCCCCCACTCCTCTCCACCCCAGGACAGTGAGCGCAGAGAGCATGGTGGGGCAGATGGGCCAATGTGCAGAGCAAGGGCCAGTTCCGGGAACACCCTCAGGCCTCTGCACCCCCACATCATCCCAGCCTGTCTTCTAGGTGGTGAGATGGGCAGAGCATTTCTAGACGGAACGACAGTGGGCACTTCCTTTCTTTTGGTGTTTCAGATGCATCTACCATGTGGGCGACTGGTGAGTGACAGGTATTTTCATCACCTCACCAATAACATGCACTCCTGGATCTGTCCAATACCTGGATCTGACCGATACCAGTCTCTAAGACAGATGTGCTCACAGGTATGAGGAGACCTCCACCTGCCTCTTTGGTCAGGAATACAGTGAACACACACCCTTCGTGCCTGCCTTATAGACAATCCTCCCTAGCCGTACCACACCACCGCCCAGACGCTGCAACCCGCAGGCCTCTGGAGTCCAAAGAATGGCTGGTGGCTGGCTCAAAAGTCCCACCAAGTGGGACAACTTAGAGTCGGTGGGGATGGTGGAAGGTGAACTGAAAAGGGTTTGGAGGAATCTTCTGGAGAGAAATATTCTAGATTGTATTTTGGTTGGTGGTTTCACAAATGTAGTCAATGTTAAATCTCATCACACAGAATAATTAAGATCTACATATTTTGTTTTACTTCTGCTAACAAAATGTTAAAGAAAGTTTCATGTCCTGATCTACATCCCACAGTCATTCTCTGGCCAGGGTTTCTTCTCACAGCACTGTCCTTACTGGGAACTTTCCCCACCCTCCCAGGCAAAACCCAAGTGTAGGCTCAAGCATCCCACAAACCACTAGATGCTGGGAATTGCCTGCACAGCTGCGCGCAACAGGCCAGGCAGTGGGGCGGGGCCTTCAGCACCATGCCCAATGAGTAGCCCCCAAGCTCCCTCTCTAACTGAGCTCTTTTCTGATCCAGCCACCATTCCGCTCACCCCTCACCTCAGTTACTCCTTCATCCTCAGACAGGTACCCATGGGGCACGAAAAAACCATCATCCTCATCTTCATCTTCTCCAACTTCATCATCATCATCCTTAAAAAGAGAGAGAGGAAGTACGTTCATATCATGTAGGAACAGGTTCTGCTTCATTTAAAATTTTCATCTGTTGTTTTCCTGTGGAACCACGAGGGTCAGCACAAATCCCATTAGCTAATCCCCACACAGCACGGTGGTGGTGGTGGGGGGAGGGGGTGTTCAGACAGAAAGCAGACCAGCAGAGCAGGTCGGATGTAAGATGAGGGGTGGGAGTGCTTGTGAAGCAATGGGGCATACTCCACCTGAAACTGCCACTCTGCAGACGGGTCAGCATCATCAGAAAAAGTTTTTCAAGAGGCTAGCAAGCCAGACACTGGCTGAAACTGTCAGGTAACACTACAGGTCAAACACAAGCTGTGAGTCCATTTCTCCTGGCCCCGGCCCTAGTCTTCTGGCGGGAATGTGTCTGTGCTCACCCCTTCACTGTGCGACAGGGACTCCCCTGGCTCCTCCTCTTCCCACTCGTCATCACTATCCACCTCATAGTCAAGCAGCTTCTGAAAAGACAAATACATTAGTGTGTCACTGTCTTCAGAGTTAGAAGGAAAATATACAAAATCCAAGAACCCAATGGGGAAAAAGGCAAAATGAGGGTGTGCACCTGGCCCCCAAACTCACCCTGTCCTGGGCCCAGGGGTCCCTTGCATGGATCACCGTCGTCTTCTTATTCCAGGTCCCCCAGTATGCAGGTCGGTGATTCTCGGAAAACTGCAGGAGCTTCATCCTGCCGAACTTCCTCCTTTCAGGAACGCCATCGACCTTGCTGCTCTCCACGATCACCATGTCACTGCGGGAACACCACGTTCAGTAACATCCCTCCTCTTCACCGGCCACAGCCTCCCGGGGAAACAGGCCACGAGCACCCCAGCAGGAGGGTACCACTGCAGAGCAGCAGTGACTGCTCCCAAAGGAAGCTCAGGAACATCATTCCAGAGACCCAAAGCCAGGAAGGAGAAACAAGGTGGTCAAGTTGCTGCCCAATAGCATTTACGTAATTGGGCTGGAGGAGAAAAAGTAAATCAGTAAGAACAGGGAAATGACCTTAGAGGAAGGTTGGCAGAGAGGAATCCCTCCCACCAGAGGCAGGGAGGGAAGCGTGCATGCCAACACCATGGCTTTCTGCAAGACCACTACACATGGGAGACCACAGAGGCTCCCAGGAAGCCAGGAAAGAGACATCCAGGGCCTGAGGCCTGGTCCCAGTGAGTCAGCAGTGGGCCAGAACCAAAGCTCTGCCTTGTCTCCCCACCAGCAGCTCGGATGCTGTCAACAGCGCTCAACTTCACCAACCAGCAAACTACACAGTCTCCCCATCACTAACCTGTTAAAAATTTCCGCGTTCCGGTTCGAAACCATGGTGGGTCCAGAGCTGAGGGGCTGTCGACCTTTTAGATCTTTCAGAAATGAGAACTCACTGCTCTGCTGCTTGAGGAGCTGGTCTAACTGGTCACAGAGGTCTTGGTCAAAGGCAGTCCGACACCGAGGGGCGAGGACCATGTGCTCTTTGATTTCAAAGGGGGCAAACTTCCCACAGGAGCCGGCCAGGGTCTGAAAGGAGAAGAGACCCAGGGGCACAGCTGTGCTGGGGAGGACCACCCAGCAGTGGCAAGGAGGTGTGGCATGCACAGCATCATTGCTTCTGAGACAGAAACAAGGGCCATGGGCTGTGTGATGCCAACCACAAGCGTCTCTAGATAAGGCAAAAACTATCGGCCAGAGAGAAGATCATCAGTTGCCTGGGTGTGGGATCAGAGAGGGGACGGACTATAGGGGGATAGAAATATTCTAGATCTGATTACAAAGATTGGGGCCCCATGTATTATCAAAACTCATTGAATGGCACCGCTGTAAAGGGTGAATTTTACTGTGCATCATACCTCAATAAACCTATTTTTTTTTTTTTTTAATATGAAACCACCAATTTATTTATTTATTTATTTATTTATACAAGCACTGGGCACAGTCAGAAGCGCGGGAGGGTGAGAGAATTCACCAGAGCCAGAGCGGGGAGCAGAGCAGGCAGAAGGACCGAAGGACACTGCTGAGGGGAGCAGCGGGTGGCAGGAGAGGTCTGCGCACCATGCGGGACCCTCCTCTGGTGGCCGGGGAGCAGCCGGGGATCGAACCGGCACCGCAGAGGTCGCCGGCAGCTTCGCAACCCAGCGCTCAACCGCTGCGCCACCGGGGAGGCCCTATTTTTTTTTTTAAAGAAAGAAAACGAGACCTGAGGTTGAGGGAGAGGCACTTAGTCGTGCCACCCTCAGCAGAGAACAGCAGCTGGAACCAGACATCAGGCCCTCCCCTCGCACAGTTTCCAGCGAAGAAACCAAGACTCAGTAACGCGACTGACTTGCTATAGCCTTGTTGTCACATGAGTTAGTAAGACATAGAGTCCACTTTCAACCCTGAGACCTGATATGAACCTGGAATATCAGGATCTATTTCTCAAGAATCATCCTCTTATAAATTCTGATGGATTTGCTTTTCCCTTTGATCAGAGCTCTGTCAGTATCTTTACTGTTCACAAAGTGAAACACAGTACATGGGGCATCAGGAGAAGGATCAATGTCTTTGAAATTTTGTCTCAAAAAGCAAGACTTTCACCTCAGAAAGAAAAGAGCAGCTGAGGCCAATGGCACTCACTGTGGGAAACAAAATTCCCAATGTCCAAAGTGAGCCCATCAAGTTCTCTGAGGAAGGAGCTGGGTCCTTGCAAATTTTTTTTAAAGATTTGTTTATTTATGCATACAAGAACTGGGCTGTAGGCCAGAGGTGTGGGGGGTGAGAAGATTGACCAGAGACAGAGTGGGGAGCAGAACAGGCAGATCTACTGAAATACACTGCTGAGGGAAGCAGTGGGCACAACAGGAGAGGTCTGCGGCACCATATGAGTAGCTCCCTGGCTGGGGATTGAACTCAGGCCGCAGTGGCTGGCAATAGCTTGATAGTACTGAGACTTTAACCCCTGCCCCACCAGGGAGGCCTTGTAATTTTTTTAAACTCCCTGACAATTCCAGCATTTGGCCTAGGACAAGAATCAACAGGCTGTTCTTTTCACAAAGGGGCAATGGGAACATCCGGGGGCCACACCCTACGTCAGAGCAAGTTCCAGGTCCAGGTAAGATGAAACATAAAAAACAAAACATAAACTTAAGCAAAAAGAAAGTGCATGTATAATCATAGGATACACAAGGCTTACCATGCAAAAGCCAATATGCCATCAGAAAATAAAGATGAAGTGCCTCCCCAGTTGGCGCAGCAGTTGAGCTCTGGGCTGCAAAGCTGCCTGCAGCCTCTACAGCGCCGGTTCGATCCCCAGCCACCGGCAAGGGTCCTACATGGCACGCAGACCTCTCCTGCCGCGCCCGCTGCTCCCCTCAGCAGAGTACTTCGTCAATCTGCCTGTTCTGTTCCCAGCTCTGGTGAATTCTCTCACCCACCCATGCTTCTGACTGTACCCAGTGCTTGTATAAATAAATAAATCTTAAAAAAAAAAAAAAAGAAAGAAAAGAAAGATGAATACAATCACATCATTCAATGACATCTCAGTAAGTGACAGACCACACAGATGGTGGTCAACAGGCCCCATCACACAGCGCAGGTGTCGCAGGCTATGCCACCAAGGTGTGTGTAAACTCTATGACGTTTGCACACCACCAACCTGGTCTAACGATGCATCTCTCTAACCCTATCTCGTCGTTAAGCTACTCATAACTATCAATTCAAATGTGCCCAGGGAAGCAAGAACCCAAGACACAGCAAAATGGTGACATCATAAATTGAAAACAGACCTGATTTATATGTTTACAAGCACACAAGTAGATGCAGGTGTGGAAAAAGAGAAAGGCGTGGAAGGGTACACGACCATCAAAGGAGATGGGCTACCTCTGAAGAATGGGGGAGAAGGGTGTGGATCAGGGGTTCCACAGCAAATGCTGGACTAGAAGGTGACTGGGTAGCGGGCTGGAGAGCTCCGTGTGGTTGTTTTAAGCTCTACCTTGGCCCCATCTTGAGCTAAGTCTCCCGAGGTTAAAGGACCAGGACTTCTCTTCCCCTTTCCCTGCCTCTCTGCAAAGCTCTCAACACAGAACTGTTGATGAAGCAACCTCTGAATATCGTGCAGTTTTAGCAAATGTGTCACTTTTTGCCTTTTCAAGAACACATTGAAGAACTAAATAACGACCCAGCAGACTTACCCAAAACAAGAGCTCCTGTGAAAGAGGGTCCCTTTAGATGGTCAGAAGACACCCTTTTATTTTATTTTCAAATAGGAACAAGTCAATAAAAAGTGGAGCCAATGGATGCCAGCTGCTCACCTTGGGTGCCTGGGGGGTCTTTGGCTTCTGAAAGAACCTGGTGATTTCGGCCTTCTCTGCTTTAATGCGCTGCAATTTAAGAGATGAGAGAATGAAGAAATGAAGGCCCCTAGAATGCCGGCCTTCTAGGCCTTTTTAAGTTTAAAATTTTGATTTTCAGCCTCAAAACCAATCAACTCAAGTATGGCAAACCTCAAAAACTCAGAATAGCTCGTGGGCAGGACGGGACTGGTGAGCAAGTGGGCACAAGGAACTAGTAACAAAATCCTATTTACGCACACCCGGCAGTCCCTCCTCTGGGGGCCACCAGGCCTCCCACTCCCGAGGGAACAATGGGCAGCAATAAGGAAAAAACCCATTATGACATCTGGATCTATCCCTCAAATAGGGAGATCATTCTACCTTTTCTTCCTCTCTCAACCGTTTCTCCTCTTCCTTTTTCCGCTTCTCCTCCAGTTTTGCCCTGTGACACATGAAATTCAACTTCAGCTAAAGCACCCAGGTGCACAAAGCCTGCATTCCCACAGCAGCAGAGCGGCCAGGGGTCCCCGGCATGCAGGAGAGTGCAGCAGACCAGAGGTTTCTCCCCACCCTCCACTTCAGGGGCTCAGTACAAGGAGGGGCGGGAGGAAAGACATGGCCAGGCCTCCAAGTGCTCAGGCAGGCCGGGAAGGCACTCACTCCAGTGCCTCCTGCCTCTCCTTGCGCCGTTCCTCCTTGAGCCGCTGCTTCTCTGCCCGCTCCCGCTCATCCTTTTCCCTTCGCTCTCGCCGCTCCCGCTCCTTCAGCTCCTTCTCCTCCTCTCTCTTCTTTTTGGCTTCTTCCTTGGCCCGTTTGGCCTCCTTTTTCAACTTCTCCTTTTCTTCCTTTTCTGCTCGTAATTTCAGTTGCTTGCCCAAACGCTCCTTATCCTGCAGCCGGAAGACAAGGGAACAGGTTAGTCCTGAGGATCCCCTGGAGGGCCAGGCCAGCATCCTCAGGGGGCCGTGTTAGGGCAGACTGGACATCAGCACCCTCGTACTCAAGGGCTCTCTGATGCATGTTGGACATCTGTCACGACAGACGTGGAGAATTAGCCACTTGATCACAGGACCTTGCAGTTAGGTTGGGATAAGATCTGTTTAAAATGCCTCTTTTAGGGCCTCCCTGGTGGCGCAGAGGGTTGAGCACACCGCTGCTCCCCTCAGCAGTGTTTTCGGTCTGTTTGCCTGTTCTGCTCCCTGCTCTGTCTCTGGTGAGTCCTCTCACCCTCTCGCACCTCTGGCCTGTACCCCAGCCATTGTATAAATAAAAAATAAATTTTTGAAAAGTAAAAAAAAAAAAACGCCTCTTTAACTAAAAAAGTCATAGAATATATGCTCAATGGAATACTACTCAAGATTAAAAAAAGCTGAAATATGCCTTTTGGACAAAATGGATGGATCTTGAGGTGACAATGCTAAGTGAAGTCAGAAAGTGAAAGAGAGTTACTGGATGGTTTCACTCATTTGCAGAACATAAATAAGCCAAGAAAGCAAACTGGGAAAGCACAGCAGAAAGAATTCCTAGACTGTAAACAACAAACTGGCTACCAGAGGGGTGAAGGGAAGTAGGAAGGAGGTGACAGGATGTTGGTGCTGCAGCTCTGGTGCAGGGTGAGGCATAAGCACATAGGAGGTGTGAAGTTGTACTCCCCAAATTACATGGTTGTGTAAATACTCAGCAAAACAATAAAGTTGGAGAGGGAAAAAAAATGCCGTCTTTAATCACAGGACAAAGTTTTTCATTTAACTTAAAAAAATATAATATCTCTGGCTGCCCTTGCAAGTACTGGCTATTAGGTTTGACTGCATTTATTTAACCAGAAGGCAATGGCAAAATAAAGATATTAAAACACCTGCAGGTTTTGTCTCCTTACCTCTAAGACAAAAACATTTTTCTTTCCATCCCCACCAAACCTACTAAGTCTTAAAATGATGGGGAATACATGAGAACACATAAAAAACTAAAGGAAAAATAAAATTCTTTATTTTTAAAACTAACAGGAACTGAAAAAGAGGTTAGATGAAGAATGAAGAACTGATTATTGGTAGGAGAAGACAACTAGTTCCTTCTATGTTCTTTGAAGTTGGAACATTTCATTTTATCACATCATTCCTCATTGCAAAAAATCAGTATGTGGCCAGTGGCACTGAGTTATTATATAATCTTAAATTTGTATTAAAAACTCACCTGCCTGATGGAATGGGTGATTAGCTTTAACACACGAGGTAATTTTCAAGGGCCGTTACCCAGTCAAGATGGGCTTTTTTTTTTTTTTGTGGGACCCTCACCGGTGGCCAGGGATCGAACTGGCATTGCAGAGGCTGCGAGCAGCCTTGCAACCCAGCGCTCAACCGCTGCACCACCAGGGGAGGCCCCAAGATGGGTTTCTTAACTGACAACTGAGCTTTCGGCTTCAACTGAGGGCATGTGATTATGCCCTCATCTCTACATAGAACATCATACGCTATGCCCTGACAACCTCTGATCCCTTTACAAGAGTCATGGAGACAGACGTGCAGTCAGAAATGTCTGAATGCTTGTTTTTGCAAAGTATCCTCTGCATTCCTAAGAAATGGAAGCCAAAGGTATCAGGTCTCTTTAGCCATACCCGAGTCCTGTCCCTGCCCTCACTCCTTCACGTGTCCAACTCTGTCTGAAATGCCAATGAAGAATGAGATAAACTCTAAAAAGGCCACCAATGCCTGGCTAAGCTACAAGCTGTCACACAGGAAACACCTGGCGGACACCTCACTCATGTCCTTGGTGCCCCTTCGTGAGTCGGCAAGGGTGGAGAGAAGCCCACTGGCCTTCTCTGTTCTTCACTATAAGAAAGACCCCTTCATAGCTGTGTGTGAGGCTTGAATCCTAGATAATATAATCAAAGACTGAGCAGGAAACCACTGAGCAGTAATCACCCATCTAGTTTTCAGGGCACCAAAATGTTATAGCACTGGGGCAGGGGTGGAACTGGAACCCACCAGTAGGAGACTGAGACCCAGGAAGAGGCAGGGGCTCCCTGGAGGGCAACTTTCAGCTATAATGGGCAGCCCAACTACTGAGGTAGCAGTAACTGTAGTAATGATTGTGATAAAAGCTTAGAAAAGGCTACAGGCAGGGCCTCCCTGGTGGTGCAAGGGGCTAAGCACCACACTATGAAGCAATCCACAGCCTCTGCAGCATGTGTTCGATCCCCGTCCATCCAGGGAGCAGCCCACATGGCGCAGCAGACCTTCCCTGACTCGCCCGCTGCTCCTCTCAGCAGTGTACTTCGGTCAATCTGCCTTTTCTGTTCCCCACTCTGTCTCTGGTGAATTCTCTCAACCCCCGCATTTCTGGCCTGTACCCTAGCTCTTGTATGCATAAATAAATAAATCTTTAGGGAAAAAAAAGAAAAGGCTACAGGCAAACACTTAGGATTTAGAAAGCTTAAATGATGCAATCCACATGTCAAGAAGTGTAAAATGAGGCAACAATAGAATGATGGTCAGAATAAGCAGGGGGAAGGCAAACACTAGGCCAAGGGAAGTGCAAAAGGCTTTGCTTACTATTTTATGCAAAAAGCACAGCAGGGTAATGTTCTATTTCAGGGAAAATGTCTTACTCTTAGCAGTCTCATCCTGATCTTCTCTGCCGAACTGACCAATTTCTTAGGTATCTGAAATGAAAGACATTTATTGTTTAACACGTGGACAGGGGAGGTGACCCACGCTATCAAGAACTTTGCACAATGAGAAAAATGAAAACCTTTTCGAGTGACCAGTTCCACCTACAGAACAAAAATGCTGGAGAGGGCCAAGCACTGCGATAAACATGCACATGCATGTACCCAGGATAAAAGGGAGGGGGTGGGGTGGGCAATAACAGGTGAGTGCAGAGGACCAAGTAGAAGAACAAGGAAAGCGTGAAAACAAAAGCAGCGGCCAGTGGTCAGTGGCCTGGAAGGCAGGCACATGGCAGAGCAGTCAGAGGACCTGCCCTTTCCACATTGGACAGCTCTCAGGCTTAGCCACTCCTGACGATTTTCTGAAGATAGTGGGAATATTATGTGAATTTTATAAATATATTTAGGAATCAACACTGTGAATCAGATAAAGCATGTCTATGGGCTGGATTCCCATAGACCACAAAATACTCTCTGCTCTGGTGCAGATCAGCCTTTTATTTATTTATTTTTTTTTTTTTTTTTTAAAGAGGCATGTATTTTTATTTATGTATTTATTTATTTATTTGTTTATACAAGCACTGGGTACAGTCAGAAGCGCGGGAGGGTGAGAGAATTCACCAGAGCCAGAGCGGGGAGCAGAGCAGGCAGAAGGACCAAAGGACACTGCTGAGGGGAGCAGCGGGCGGCAGGAGAGGTCTGCGCGCCATGTGGGACCCTCCTCTGGTGGCCGGGGAGCAGCCGGGGATTGAACTGGCGCCGCAGAGGCCGCGGGCAGCTTCGCAACCCAGTGCTCAACCGCCGCGCCACCGGGGAGGCCCCAGATCAGCCTTTTAGACCGTGGAGCGAAAGCTCAGGATAAGAGGTCAACTCACCAGCGGTGGCACTTCAGTCTGGACCCCTAGCCTCTACTGTCCTATTGCAATTTGAGCATAGGTGACAGGATTTACCAGGATGCCCATCACCCTGCGGGCTCTACTGTCCTAGGTAGATGTATGAACAAAGGGCTCACCATGGAGCCTAAGTGACACTCAGAATAGGACCCCTGATATCCAGACCCCTGGACTCAAAAAAAAATGAACAGAGACATGAGGCTGGAAGAGCCTGAGGTCCACTTTAGGCTTGGAGAGGCAGTCAAGAACTGAGACTGGGGCCTCCCCGATGGCCCCAGCCAGGGAAAGGAAGCAGAGGGAAGACATATACCCCCAGGTGGCCCACCCATATTAAAAGAACGCAAGCAGGCAAATGTGTATGTTCCCCGGAGCCGGCCACTGTGCTTAGAGCCCAAAAAAATACATGAAAGGAAGACTATCACATAGTCACACCATGGGTTAACAACACAGCCCTTAAAAAAGAGACCACCCCATTCTAAAAAATAGCTTAGACTCCCTGGAATGAGAAAGAAACATAATTACAATACACAGACCACGCAAGGAAACAAAGTGACACTGTATTCCTAAGGGATCTCCCCAGCACTGGCACACAGAAGAAAAATAATGGCAACCCTGGGGGAGAGACAGGGGCTACAGGGGCCTGCAATGTTTCAATGAGTTTTCTAATGGAATTGCACAGGATGAAGTTCCAAGTAATCTGGGTTCCTTGGTATATAGAGATAAAAGATTCAGGGACAAAACTGCATCAGCATTATTATCCACAGAATAATCATCTTCAGCCATCCGTAAAGTAGGCTTAATTACACCTGTAAGTGCAAACAGCTTGAGAGATGGTTCTGTCCCAAACAGACCAAGCTCTAATGCTGAACACTCTGTGGCCAGTCAAGACCTTGGGAGTGATTTTTAAAAAGGTGTTCCCAAATTACTGTTTCTTCAAAGCAAGATTCTCCAGATCCTCAAATACTTAAAAAACAAAACTCTCTCAGGGGCTCTATCCAACTCCCAAGGAGAGGACAGCAGGAACTGCACTTTCACGCATTTCCTGGAAGGAAGGGCAGTGAGGAAAGCCTGAGGGCTCCATACAGAGCTTTTACCTTACCCGCTCCAGGACAAACAGAGTCCAGCAAAAATCACACATATTACATGGTAGCAGGAAACAGGAGTCAAGAAAAAATTTGGGCCCCACAGCAGGGAAAGGTTCTTAGAGTTAGGTGCCAACGATGAAATGAACAAATTAACAAAATCAATAAATTCTGAATTCTGGAAGTGAAGAGATTTCTAGAAAGCAGTGCACATGAGTTGAAAGGGGTCTCTGGGCCAGGCACAGATGTATTCTTTGCTCTCAGACCTGTGGTGTCACCCAGCACCAGTGTGACATTCTTTTGATAGGTGGACCCTCCTGCTGGAGATGGGCAGTTTCCTGCCACAGGCTCTTGGGTGGCCCGAAGCCTTCACCACTTGCAATGTAAAGTATCTGTAAACCTGCAGGGCACTGCCTTTCCAGGGCATTCTAAACTCCCGGGCTGAGTTCAGTCAGACCTAGCATCGCGGCTACAGGATTTCCTAAACTGAGCTTGCTGGGCTCATGCTATCAGCTGTTAGGCCAATTGAACCAGTGGACATAAGGTTCAAGAGAATGTCCAGCTATAGGGAATCTCAATTCTGTTTGTTTGTTTTTAAAGATTTATTTATGCATACAAGAGGTAGGGAGGTGGGGTGCAGGCCAGACATGTGGAGGTTGTGGGGGAGGGTGAGAGGATTCACTGGAGACAGAGTAGGGACCAGAATGGGCAGACTGACTGAAATACACTGCTGAGGGTAGCAGCGGACGAGACAGGAGAGGTCTGCTGCGCCATGTGGGTCGCTCCCTGGCCGGGGATTGAACTAGTGCTGCGGTGACTGAGGACAGCTTCATAGGTTGTGTCTTAACCCCTTGCGCCACCAGGGAGGCCTCCCCCCATTTCAATTCTTAAGTCTAGCCATGGGCACAAAAACACACTTTAAGAAGAATGGAAACATGGGTACACAGCACGGGGTCCAGGTCCATTGGCTGTAACACATCACACCACAAAGCAGTTCTGCAAAGCAGCAGTCTTCAAGCTATTTAATAGATGGGACAAGATGGTGGCAGCAAAAGTGATTCAGACTTGCATGTTGAATCTGAACAATGGCTCAGATGTAAGTTTTGAAAATGCACATCGCAGTCTGCCACATTTACAAACTTAGAAGAAAAAAGACTGCTCTATTCTTGATTGATATTTTTTGAACCTAGGGAGGAAACCATTTTTCCTTCCTCCTATACTCCTTAGGAGGTGAAGACACATGAAATGGAATCACCTAGAAAAATAGTCCCTGAGAGGTCGAATTTCAGAAATCAGGGGCCTCCCTGTTGGTGCAAGGAGTTAAATCTTAGTACTATGAAGCTATCCACAGTCACTGCAGCACAAGTTCAATCCCCGGCCAGGAAGCTGACCGACATGGCACAGCAGACCTCTCCTGTCTTGCCTGCTGCTCCCCTCAGCAGTGTATTTCAGAAAATCCGCCTGTTCTATTCCCCACTGTCTCCAGTGAGTCCTGTCACCCTCCCCGCAAGCCCCTGCATTTCTGGCCTGCAGCCCAGCTCTTATATGCATAAATCAATCTTCAAAAAAAAAAATTCAGAAATCAATCCAGGTTGATGACTTATGGTCACATTAAGCAAGCAGAGACTGAATGAACCACCGCATATAAAAATCCAACAAGAATTAAATGAAAGTGCTATAAAACCAAAAAAACAAAAATTCCATCATTAAACACACTTGGGGATTCTTGGCCAATTTCATCAAGTCTTAAGGCCAGGTGAGAAGAGAGACGTTTGACATTGTGCTAACCAAAAACACCATCAGAAACATGTCAGAAGTCATCCTTCTGGGGCTCTAAAATGGCAGTTTTCTCTGTCTTTGGTTGTCATCACTCTGGATGAGTCTGGCTCTCAAGATGGGCAGCTATGCTGTTGAGAGCTGACCCTACAGAATCCACCATGTAGGGATTCCTGCAATCTTGGGGTCTCCTCACCAGTTTACTGACTCTATCACCAACATCCCCACAAGTCTGTGTTGGACAAGAGAAAGGAACGGAGGAAGCTGAAGTCCGACTTGAGGACTGACAGATGTCTTCTTAAGTTTGTTACTCACTACCACGGCAAAGTTGACCAGTATCATCAATCAGGTGTAAATAACCAAGACTTTCAGAATGGCATTGACTGACTAGGCCACTAGCACATGGCAGCGTACAGGTTAACTAGATACCTCAATTAGTTTGTTTGTTTGTTTTTTTAAAGATTTATTTATATATTTATTTATACAAGCACTGGGTACAGTCAGAAGCGCAGGAGGGTGAGAGAACTCACCAGAGCCAGAGCGGGGAGCAGAGCAGGCAGAAGGACAGAAGTCCACTGCTGAGGGGAGCAGCGGGCGGCAGGAGAGGTCTGCGCGCCATGTGGGACCCTCCTCTGGTGGCCGGGGGTCAGCCGGGGATCGAACCAGCGCTGCAGAGGCTGCGGGCAGCTTCGCAACCCAGCGCTCAACCGCTGCGCCACTGGGGAGGCCCCTCAATTGGTTTTTGATATGGAAAAGATTACAAGCCTACAAGTCTTCTTTTGGGAGTCATAAAACCTAGTTTGTGGCCCCACTGGCTCAGCCACCTGCCATGTGAGTGGCACACTATCTGCAGGTAAAAGTGAGGGTAGGGGACCTCCCCGGTGGCACAGGAGTTAAAGTCTCAGCGCTATCAAGCTATCGCCAACCACTGCGGCCTGAGTTTGATGCCCGACCAGGGAGCTGACCCACATGGCACAGCAGGCCTTTATCCCCTGCTGCTCCCCTCAGCAGTGTATTTCAATTTGCCTGTTCTGCTCCCCACTCTGTCTATGGTTAATCCTCTCACCCCCCCCCCATACCTTTGGCCTGCATCCCAGTTCTTGTATGCATAAATAAAATAAATCTTTAAACAACAAAGTAAGGGCAGGTACCCTGTGCAGGTACCCCAGGCACTTAGGGAAATACTCACTCTGCGTACTGGTATGCAGGTGGGGAGGGGACTGCCAGGCTGTTTTCCGGGAGCAGACTGCCCCTCAGGTGAGCTGGTAGAAGAAGAGCTCAAGGATGAATGGCTAAGCACCGAGTCTTCTTCAGGGCCCGACTCTAGCAGCTCACCCGCGGAGGGCAGTCCCTTGTCCAGGGGCGTTGCTGGAGACTTGGCTTGGGGGGATCTCACAGCCAGAATATCCTCTAAGACCACCACAGGCACCTTCCTTTTGAACAGGATGCCCCCAGCTTCACTCCAACCGTTCTGTTCCTTTTCCAGGAACATTCTTAGACCACCCATCAGTTCAGGGCAGCTCTGGGGTGAATCTTTCAGCTTGGTCCCACTCCTTTCTGTGACCCCCAAGCCAGCAGCCTCCTCCTGTCTGTGACACGGAATGTCTGAAAGGAATGCTCCAGGAAACACTGATGCATCCTCATTGGCCTTCGGCAACGACTGCCTCTTGTCTCCAGTTTCTTCTGTGACTCCATTTACAGCCTCCCCCTGAGCAGAGGCTTCAGAATTTAGTTTATCACGGGCCACAGAGTTGTCTGTTTGATCACTTGAGTCCTCTGTCAAATCAATGATTACGGCAGCCTGGCTAACGTTAGTTTCGACTCTATTTCTTAAAAAGTTATCTAAAGGACCCTTCCCATTCAGAAGTTTTGGCTTCAAATCTCTGTCGGAACCCAAGTGACAGTCATTCTCCAAGTTGTCCAGAGAGGTTTCCAAATCAGGGACTTGGCCTTGCATGGCAGCACCCTGAGAACTACTCGTGACGTCAGACCCATCCTCAGATTTCTCCTTTGGGAGGAGGTTCAGGCGCTTGAAAGGCAGACGAGCTGAAAGGAAGAGAGATGGTCATTGTTTTGGTGTGAAGTGTGACAATATTTAATATTCCCAATACCTGAAAATTAGTGGCCTCGCTGGGCTTAGGGAAGGGGATTTTAAAGTTTAAAAGAGGGCTATTTTTTCATTGTGCATTTCCCCAGCATCCTAGTTTAAAAAAAAAAAAAAAAAAGACCAGTTTTTAGCAGGGATGCTACTAGAATTTCAAGAGAGAGTTTCTGATCAGTTCAAGATCTAGTTCAAATTCCCAATTTATTTATAATGGGTAGCAAGCTCATCTGAAGGTAACTTGCTCAGAAAAGCTAGAGTTTGATACACTTGTGTAAGGATTTTTCTCTATGCCTCTAATATCCCAGGCTCTGTCAGCCTGCCTTCTCAAGCAAATAGCTATCTTCTCGTCGCTTACCAGGCTTCCAGCAGGTCCTCAGAGACACACAGCAATACTTCAGGATGGTGAGCAAATTCATGGGAACACTTCCCAAGGAACACACACTTGCTTAAATGCCAATACATCTCTATTTTATAATGTAATAGACCAAATAAACCTGTTCTTAACCAGTTACTGAAACAATCACACCCTTGGGTTCCATGGTTAGCCCCCAATCCTTTAACCTCATGCTTTTAACATGATTCCTACCAACACCAATCTTGCCATCAATCTTCATAGATGGCACCTACCTATAGGTGAACCAGATAACCAATCAAGGATTAAAAAACATAAACCACTGGGCCTCCCTAGTGGCGCAAGGGGTTAAGACACAACCTATGAAGCTACTGCAGCACTACAGCATGAGTTCAATCCCCAACCGGGGAGTTACCCACATGGTGCAGCAGACCTCTTCTATTCGCCCACTGCTCCCCTCAGCAGTGTACTTTTCGGTCAATCTGCCTGTTCTGTTCCCCACTCTGACACTGGTGAATCCTCTCATCCCCTGCACCTCTGGCCTGTATCCCAGTTTTTTGTTTTTGTTTTTAAGATTTATTTATTTATTTATACAAGCACTGGGTACAGCCAGAAGCGCAGGAGGGTGAGAGAATTCACCAGAGCCAGAGCGGGGAACAGAACAGGCATACTGATGAAGTACACTGCTGAGGGGAGCAGCGGGCAGCAGGAGAGGTCTGCGCGCCATGTGGGACCCTCCCCCGGCGGCCGGGGAGCAGCCACGGATCGAACCAGCATGGCAGAGGCTGTGGGCAGCTTCGCAACCCAGCGCTCAACCGCTGCGCCACCGGGGAGGCCTGGTTCTTGTATGCATAAATAAATCTTAAAAAATAAATAAATAGGGCCTCCCCGGTGGTGCAGCGGTTGAGCGCTGGGTTGCGAAGCTGCCTGCAGCCTCTGTAGTGCTGGTTCGATCCCCAGCCACCAGGCGAGGGTCCCACATGGCGCACAGATCTGTCCTGCCGCCCACTGCTCCCCTCAGCAGTGTATCATCAGTCTGCCTGTACTGTTTCCTGCTCTGGCTCTGGTGAATTCTCTCACCCTCCTGCGCTTCTGACTGTACCCAGTGCTTGTATAAATCAATCAATCAATCAATCTTTAAAAAAAAAAAAAAATTAAAATAAACCACTTAAAAAATAAAAATGGAGATAGCATGATTCAGTAACCCCACTTTTGGGTATCTATCTCAAGAATAGAAAACCTTCAACTAACAAAAGTGTATGCTTCACAGTGTTTATCACATTATTTACAACAGCTCACATCTGGAAGCAACCTAAGCGCCCACTGACAGAGCACTGGAAAAGTATGTGGTATGCCTATCCAACTGAATATAAGGGAAGATGAAATGCTACTGTTTGCACAATAATAAAAAGAGCTAGAGCTTACTTTGCTTTATATATAGCAAAATTAAGTCAGATAGATATATTGGGCGATTCACATATATGAAAGAAGAAACAATCAAAGCAAAATAAACTACCTGGCACTGATAATCAAAGTGAGGTTCTAGAGGTTAAAAAGTAGGGGAGAGGGAAAAAGGGTTAAAGGTATAAGTGATAGGGAAAAATAAAATTTTGAAACCAGGTTATATAATCCAGCTACTAATTTGGCCTAAGAGTAAATGCACTGCCCTTTTTATGTAGGATTTGGGGAAGTTTACCTGCCTGGACACCAGAGTTCCACCCAGAGACATCTGGCAATTATCTGAGACTAAAATTATTGGTAGTCACAATTTGAGGGAGGAGCCTGGGGTGCTGCTCAACTCTACAATACAGTACAGCCTCCCACAATGAGACATTACAAAATGTCAACAGTGCCGAGGTAGAGAAATCCTACTATAAAGGCAAAGGTTCCTGGATTTGCTCCTGGCACCCTAAAAGAACAGCAGTGTATGACAATGGGTTTCCCAGATTCCGACTGTGAGGTGCAATTGTTCTCCCCCCACCAGCCCTTTGGTGCTTTTGTTGACTACAAGACATGGCCTCTGCTCAAGTGAATTAAAAATAAAATTAAGAAGGAAATGAAGAATAGGAAATAGGAACAAATATTTAACCCATTCCCAGGAAGTTACCTTGTATTAACTTCTTGACTGGAAAAGCTGGTCGGTCTTTGCAATCCATGGCTGTGAATAAGTGTCAAAGTATAAGTTATTAAATGTTGGAAACAATAAAGTAGCAAGGGCACAAGCTGCACTCAGTATGTACAGCCCATCTCCAATAGGGGTGATATTGTTGCCTCTCCCCCACATTTGGCAGTATTGAGACATATTTTTGGTTGTCACCACTGGGAGTGAAGGTTCTTACATCTAATAGGTAGAGGCCAGGGACACTGCTAAATAGCCTACCATGCAAAGGATGCCCCCTCCTCCCTTCTCTGGCCCAAAATATTAATAGGTTGAGTCAAAGGTCTTGCTTTGTTTTCTTTGTGCACTTATCCCTCTGAAAGTTGTTATTCACTGTATCTCCTCTCAACAGAATGGCAGCTCTGTGACAGCTGGGAGACTTGTTCCCCAATGTACCTACACTGCACATCACCTCAGCGCCTGGCAGAGTGGGATACCAATGAATACAGTGGCAGGAGCAATGAAAAGGGGCATGAGGCAAGTAGAGATAAAACACTGTATTACCAATTTCATCCTGAAATGATCCTAAAACAACCTCTTCCAACCCAACCCCTCCCTGCCACCAAATCTGTAAATAAAAAATATAGTTCATTTTCTTTTTAAATAGTGTTTATGAAGGTAATACAACTTAAAGCATTTTAAGTGTGCCAGACAGAAACTGAAATGCTGTCAGTAAATAAGGGACAATGTTTTCCTGTACCAAATAATCTCAGGAATAGCATCTAGTTATATCAGAGTTGATAAAGAAATGACCGTGAATGGAACTGAGTCTTTGGAGACGTATCTTTGAATGGTTAGAATTAAGTTTAAAAGCTGACACCTGCTAGGAGATCTGGAATGCAAAAATCTAGGTTAGTTATTTTGGGCAATCTGTGTACTTTTTATAAACTATACCTATGAGTACTTTTTAAAAGCAGGTGAGGCTTTCTAAAAACCTCAGTTTGTTCATAGGTGATAGTGCCTCCTCTACCCCCTCCTCTTGGATTATAAGAAAGGTGTCCCAAGTATTCATCATTTCTTTCTACCCATTTCAAGACAATTACTCTCAAATTTTATGTTGCCAAAAACATGGTTTCCCCCACCCGTCCCCCAGACCAATTAAAGGATAGTTTTCAGTCACTTAAATGTATTTGTGGGAAACAAGGATTTATTGGCATGGCCCCAAGTCATCAGCTTTGATGCAAATGGAACAAAGTAACCCAGGTCCTAAAGCAACCTCAGGTGGACATAAAAAACAGATCCCATCCAGGGACCTGACAGTTGAAAGGTGCACACAGTCAAAGCACTCTTGTATATAAAGTAACCACTGCCCTTTACGCTGAGGTCACTTTCCACGTAATTTTATCTGGCATTAAAATACCCTTCTCTTTTATGATAACATGGTCATAGCAGGTAGAACTTTTTAAAATGAACATCCTTACTTGGTCCAATAAAAACATCACAGGTCCATTACAGACAGTCCTACCAACTTTATTTATGGAATCTTATTTCATACTGTAAAATCCCAAAGCCTGGAAACAATTAGAGTGCAGGTTCTCAACCAAGGGGCGATTATGCTCCCCAGGGACCACTTGGCAAAGCCTGGAGACATTTTTGGTTGTTCCCACTGGAGAGGAGTTGCTACTTGCATGTAATGGCTGGAGGCCAGGGATGCTGCTCCACACCACAGTACAGAGGACAGCCCCAAATGTCAGTAGTGCTGGAGCTGAGAACACCTGGACTAGCCTCGCTGATGTCCCTGCCAACCCTTAATTCATTCAAATAACACAAATTTATCGTGTGCCTACTACGTGCCAAACATTACACCAAGTGCTGGGGATAAAATGAGTCCCCGAGCAATTTTCCCTGCTAAGTAAGAGGATATGGGCAGTCAGGTTTTCAGTTTGGGTGGAGCTGCAAGGTGCTAGAAAGCTTCTTCCTAAGCTACTGGAGGAGAAAGGCAGATTTTAGCCTTGCATACTGGGCAAGATCAGAACGCAGACGGAAGCTGTTCAGGTTCCAGTACCCCTATGACTCCGGAGCCTCAGTTTCCCCACCCGTCAGAGGGTGCGCGATCCAACTTGCTCAGGGGACACAAACACACTCTGCAACCTGCAAAGCCGGCCCTTTTTTCTCCCCGGGCCGCTGCTTCCCCTCTTGCCCCACTGACTCATCACTGCGAAGGGCCCTGGCAAGAAGAACCGGCGCAAAAAAGCTGGGTAAATACTACAGCGGCCGAAACAATGCGGTCAATGCGGTCGCCCTTCGGGTCCCAAGGCCCTTCCTGAGGATGGAAAGGGCGCCGCGGACCGACCACCAGGTGCGGAGGGACCAGCCCGGGGTCGGGGAGCCCGCCCCCCCCAAGCCGCCTCGGCCCGCACAGGCCGCGCGCCGCGCTCCCCCTTCCCCTAAGCGCAGGCCCGAACAGACCTGCGGCCGCTCCACGGGCGCCCGGCGCCCCACACTCCAGCTCCTCCAGCATCGCCCCGACGGTGGCTCGGGCTCCCCTCGGGCGGAGGAGGCGCGGGCTCCGCTCAGGAGGCAGCCGCCGCTCGCCCTCCCGCCCGCGCCGCTGCTGCCGCGGCCGCCGCGCTCGTATTTGGCGGGAACCGCAGCGACCCCCGCAGCCCGCGAGGCAATTGGGCGAGACCGCGCCACGTGACGGGGCGCGCCGGGGCGGGGGTAGCGCCGGAAGCGTCCTCGCGAGAGCCGCGACCTCCTGTCCTCCACTGGCTCCCCTGCTGGTATTTCCGCGGTCGGGTGGGCTGCCTCCCTGTCATTGGCTGGAAGGAGGCGCCCTGCGATTGGCAGCTGGAGGTGTCAATCTGAGAGCTCTACACTGTGATTGGCTGATTGCGTGGGATCCCTAGGTCGCCGGAGGCGGGAGAGCCCGTCTTTTACACCAGAGGAATCTTTTTATTTGGGTGCGGGTTGACAACCGGAACTGCGATTTAGGTGAACTCTCAAGTTCTGAGTTTTATCCTAATTGGAAATCGGATGAATATAGCAATAGCAATTGAAATCATAAATTATTTTGTGTGGATAATAAAAATAAATGAAACCTGGGTGATACTTAGAAACATGTGACATGCAGTATATATATTCAGAATGTATGCAACGAAATGTTTCTGGTTTAATCCTTTTGATTCTTGCACATGTTTCCTCGCCTAGAACTCTCTTCCCGCAGTTCTTTTCCTAATTTCAACTTAACTGTAAGATCTTTACACCTCCCAATCACTCCTCCTCCAACCCAACAAATGAAGTGCCTGCACCTGTTCTTTCTTGAGGGAATCGCAGCGGATGTTTATTAGCATTTTCTTTGATTGGTGAATTAACTTGTTTCTGTCACTCACTTAGTGAGGGCGGGAATCTTTCATCCCTGTAACCCAGGGATCTATAGGCACTAATACATTAGTGTTTAATCAACATTTGCTTGAATGCCTAGATACCAGGTGATTGGACTGTGTGATCACATAGGTTAAAAACTTCACAAAGAACAGGAACCTTAAGTGTAAGCCTGCATATCTTAGAAGTAAGTTTTTAATCACAAAATTAATTTCTAAAGCAGAGCAGAAGTGGGGAGAGAAGATTTAACCCAGGTTTGCAATTCTACTGAGTCTATAGATTGGATAATTAAATCAGTGGTACTGTTTGGAAATAATGTGGAGAAGGAGAATTTAGGGATATCACTTTGGGTGTCATGACTCACTCAAGGCCTCAAGCTTTCCCATCTCAACCATGAGAATGTTTTCCCTCCCTTTGTCTGAAATGCTGGCATTCTGCAAAAATTCAGACTGGTGGATCATTGCTGAGGGTATACATCAGAAACACATGGGTTTTTTTCAAACCATTAAAAATAGTACCATTAGAGGGCCTCCCTGGTGGCGCAAGCAGTTGAGAGCAGCGCTATGAAGCTGTTCGCAGCCTTTGCAGCACAGGTTCAATTGCCCGCTGCTCCCCTCAGCAGTGCTTTCAGTCCATCGGCCTGTTCTGCTTCCCACTGTCTCTGGTGAATTCTCTCACCCTCCCGCGCTTCTGGCCTGTACCCCAGCTCCTGTATAAATAAATCTTTAAAAATATAGTAGTGGGGGAGGGGGGCGGTAAAAAAAAATAAAAAAATATATAGTACCATCAGAATCTGGGGAGGGAGGTTGGGATATGTGTACACTGAAACAACCCTGATCTAGTCCAGTAGCTTCTGTTAAACATTTGGAACCTCCAGCAAATTTCTGCTTCAGAAGATCACCCCAACCTGTCAAGCATTTCAGCACTGAAGATGCAAGCAGTTTAGATCATCACTTTCTTTTTCCTCTTTCTGGACTCATTTACTCATTCTGATCCATCACTAGTTTCAAATTTATTCAATACATTTTAGTTTAATAGTTTGTCAAAAATAGTTTGATAAGTTTGTCAAAAATCAGTATCAGTAGCATGTATTGATCCAGGAAGGCATCCCAGGAGTTGACATTCCAAGCAGAATCTCTTTAAGCACAAAGAATGAATGAAAGATTGGAAAAGAATATGTGTAGAGGCAGGAGAACACAGGGCAGGATCTCTATGACCTGAGCAGATGGGTTGTAGGGGCAGGAAGGACACTGAGCAGGTTTTCTGCTGCAGCAGACCATGTAAAGGAGTCCTGGAGCCCTTGGTGGCTTTTGCAGGGTTTTATTGGGATTACCATGTACACGGCAGGCTCTCTGGTGTTTTCTCGTGGCTTTGCTTCTCTGCTCTCTCGTGGTTCTTTCTTTCTTTCTCTCTCTCTCTCTCTCTCTCTGCTTCTGCTGGTGTCCCGTGACACCACCCCTAAAAGCCCAGTTTCAGCCCAGGTGAATCCCATCTACATATGCCCACACTCTATTCCAGGTGCCCACCATCAGGCATGCATTTGGGACCACAGGTTTCTGTCATCTATCCTAATGGCAGAAGAGCAGAAAAGCCTAATACTTTTTACCTTACCCCACACGGGGTAGAGGAGGAGAGTCCTAGAGCCCTCGGTGGCTTTTGCAGGCTTTTATTGGGATTTACCAGGTACGCAGCAGAGGTACTGGCGCGGGGGCCACGAGGTTGGCTGGCCTCCCAGCCCCCAGCAAGTCTTCACTCTTTCTGGGCTCTCCAGTGTTCCCTGGTGGTCTCTGCTTCTCTTTCACTCTTTCCCTCTCGTTCTCTCTGTTTCTCTTGGTTCTCCTGGCGTCCCCTTGACGCCACCCTTATAAGCGCAGCCTTAGCCCAGGTGTATCCACTTATGCATGCCCACACCCTACTCCAGGTGTCCGCTATCAGGCAAGCATACAGGACTACAAGGGTCCATCATCAATCCTAATGGCAGGAGGGCAGAAAAGCCTGATACTTTTTCACTTACCCTACAATATGCAAGAGAGGAACAAAGGCCTAAAGGCTGAGGGATCACAGATTATAAAAGAGGAAGAGATCTTAAGTCAGAAACACTGACAGAACCAAATTATGCAAGCTTTGTAGGCCATGTTAGGAAGCTGGTAGGTAGATTTTAAAGAGGACACGCGTGATCTTAATTGTTACAGAAACATCTTTCAAACTGCCTTACAGGGGATGAATTGAAGGGAAGAACGTGAAACTGGGCACAGCAGAGGTGGAATAGTCCGGTCAGAGCACTGAGGACAGAGGTGGGCAGTGGAAAAGAGGCAGCAGTAACATCCTGATGTCTGTCTTGGACAAGTGAGTGCATGAACCCAGTTGGGGGTAGAGAGGAATTGGAGAGCTCAGATTAGCAAACAGTTATCTACAGATTCGTAAACCCCGTCAAGCGAGCTCTACCTGCATTTCACTTTCCTAACCTCTCCAGGTAGATTTAAGCGCCTCTCCCAAGACCTTAGAGCCACTTCCGCAAGTCCCCGGGTCGCCAGGGCCGCCAGGGCCGCCAGGGCTCCTCTAGGACCGCCCGAGTCCACTCGTTGGCGCAGGGAGGTGGGACTTCCTCGCGACTGTTAAAGAGCGCGTGCGCCGAACTGCCAGCAGGGGGCGCGCGTGCGCAGATGGGCAGGGGCCGGCACCGGAAGTGTGTGGTTGCCATGTAATATCCTGGCCGCGCGGGCGCGCTAGGAGCTGAGGCGGCGCCGGGGCGGGCGCGGAGCGGGCGGAGAGGCTGAGAGGTGGAGGCGGCGCAGACCGGGCCGGCTGAGGAGCGCGGGGGTCGGCGGCGCCCGAGAGCCTATCGTTTGCGCCCTGCCTCCGTTTCACTGCGTCCGGGCTGGAGGCCCGACGGCGGGAGGCAACATGTCGGTGGCCGGGCTGAAGAAGCAGTTCTACAAGGCGAGCCAGGTGAGTGGAGGCCGAGGCGGGGGGCGAATCCCGGGCTGCCCGGAGTGAGGGGCCAAGCCAGGCCCGGCCCGAGCCCTGGCCCAGGCCCAGGAGTAGACCGGAGGCACGGAAGGGGTGGCGTTGGCTCTTTTCCCACTTTGGGTGGGGAGACCCTGGAGGTTCGGGTCCTGAGTGTGAAGTCACTCAGGCCCTGCGCGCCATGGGAACTCCTGTCTCCTCAAGAAGATGGGGCAGACCCCCGTGGCGGGCCAGAAATGCACCTTCTAGAGGTTGACCGGGGACATGGGCCCACTTCTCCTTTCCTTCCTCCTAGAAGTGCGGGGAGGAGGGAGAGAAGGGGAAAATCTAGTCCAGAGGCTGTCGAAACAGGAGTCTTGCCAGATAGCCCAGGGACAGGGAAAATTTGTGTCTCACAGTAATTAAAACACAACGAAAGGAAACAAAAAACCCTTTCGATCGACCCAGTATGAAGTTAAAATGGTAGAGTGAAAAGTTAGGGTCTCACTCCAGTCCCTCTGACATCCAGTCCCTCTCCCCAGAGACAGGGACTGTCACCACTTCTTTATGTCTCTTTTCAAAGATATGTGTGCCTCTTTCCGAGGTAGTGTAGCATAGTCTTCATCGTTCTATGCACTTTGTGTTTTTCTTAAATGTGTCTTAAAAATCACACTATGACTGGAATTTTCCACCTGGGGTCATCCTGTTTGGTGGGCTAGCCTGGGCACTGCCTTAGTTCTCTAAGGCTAAAGATATTTAGAGACTATCTATAGATTCCAGATGACGGCCAAACCCCGGAGGAAAAGAAACAATCTAGAAGGCATTCTAAGATTGTTGCTGAGAGTGTAACCCTTTGTCCCAGAAGGATGGAATTAGGTGATCTGGCCCCTGGTTAGACCCTGCCCAGCAGACATCAGATCCCCATGTGGTTTACTGGAGCATCTTGGAGTACTCTTCATTCTCTTGGACCCTGATGTAGTCTCTCCTGTAGGGACTCTTGTTGTCACCATAGATCCTGGAAGAGTCCCTGGGCCGCGTTGTTACCTCACGTAGACAGGTCTCTGGAAGCTGTCTCCTCTCCACCCCTGTCAGGTCCCATCCTAATGGCCCATGCCATCCCAGCAGACACAGCCTGGTCAAGGAAATATCTGGGCCTCTCTGACAGCCACCAGAACCTTTTCCCTTGGGAAGGGGAGATGAAGCAGGCCGACCTGCATCCAGGTTATGAAGTACCATGAAAGCACCACGTGATATAAACTAGTGGTTCAGATCAATTTATTATCTTGACGTTCTGAGGGTCAACCCCAGAGAATTGCTGCAATGGCCACATCCTACTCTGAGAGCTATCTTCTTGGCCTCCTGATCAATCCTGTGTTGAGTAGCACTCAGGGATCACCCTGGCTGTGTTCCATTCTCTTCTGCAATAGTTTCCATGGTCCTCTAACAACCAGTTGTTTATCGAGACATATACATCTCTGTGTCTCTTTTCTCATTCTTAGGAACACCTCCTTAATGCTCTTCTGTGCCTTTAGAATAGAGTCTGTGCAAGAGTGACATCTCCTGTTAAGTATTATTAACTCATCTTTACTAAGTTCCAATGGTATTCGTAGGCACTCTGCTTTAAATCAGTTGGCCTTGACTGGTCTCACTCATCTGGCTGAAGGATAACTGTACTCCCCCTTTCACGGCTAAGGAAACATTTATGTTCCTATAGAACAGTGGTTCTCAACCAGGGCCAGCTCTGCTGCCCTCCAGGGGACACTTAACAATATCTGGAGACATTTGTGGATGTCACAACTTGATGGATTGCACCTGGCATCTAGTGGGTAGAAGCCAGGATGCTACACTGCAGCCTACATTACACCATAACCCTTAACAACCGGGAGTTATCCAGTATCAGATGTCAGTAGTGATGAGATAGAGAAACCCTACTTTAAGATTTGAGAAAAATGGCCCTCCCTGGTGGCGCAAGGGATCAAGCACCACACTATGAAGCAATCCACAGCCTCTGCAGCACGAGTTCAATCCCTGGCCGGCCAGGGAGAAACCCACATGGCAAGGCAGACCTCTCTTGTCTCACCCATTGCTCCCCTCAGCAGTATATTTCAGTCAATCTGCATGTTCTGTTCCCACTCTGTCTCTGGTGGATCCTCTCACCACCTGCATCTCTGGCCTGTACCTCAGCTCTTGTATGCATAAAAAAAAAAAAAAAGATTCGAGAAAAATGGTAATAGTTACACCAAAACACCAAACTTGGTCATTCTTATGATAGCAGTCTGCTTTTTCATAGTGCTCGAGACACAGACAACCACACAGATGCAATCCAGTCATGATTTAGGGAGAGGAGGAGGCTGGGATTGAGTGAGTCCAGGAACTGTTGCTAAACATCCCATAGTGCAAGGGGCAGGCTTCCCCCCAGCAGAATTATCCGCCCCAGTGTTGATAGCAGCGGGGCTGAGAAACCCTGCCTTGAAACAGCCTCTTTATTTAAAAGACTCATAGCAGTGTAGTTTGTAATTTGAGAAAAAGAACTGAGGTGGATGTGGGTAAGAGAGCTTGGTACAGAGAAACCTGGTTCTTAGCAGTAAAGCCAGGATATGAATGAAAAGTTCCTAATCTCATTGGTGATACAGACAGTAAACTAGTTACAATATCTGATTCCACACCAGCTCATCTCTACTGAAAATGTTTAAGTCTTCTTTAAAATCATTTTGGGCTTGAGTGGGAAATCTGTGTTTACTTCTTTTTTTTTTCTTTTTAAAGATTTATTTATGCATGCAAGAATTGGGGTGTAGGTCAGAGGTGCGGGGAATGCGAGGATTCATCAGAGACAGAGTGGGGAGCAGAACAGGTGCATCTACTGAAATACACTGCTGAGGGGAGCAGCAGGCGAGACAGGAGAGGTCTGCTGCACCATGTGGGTCAGCTCTAGGGATCGAACTCAGGCCGCATTGGCTGCCAATAGCTTGTTAGAGCTGAGACTTAATCCCTGTTTAAAAAGGTGGACCCTTTTTAAATTTAATTCTGCATAGAGGAACTGGGGTATAGGCCAGAGGTGGGGGCAGGGGAGAGGACCCACCAGAGACAGTGGGAGCAGAACAGGCAAATCTACTGAATATACTGCTTAATCTGCTGTGCTATGTGGGCTAGCTCCCTGGCTGCAATGGCCGTTATAATGGTAGCGCTGAGACTTAACCCCTAGGCCACCAGGGTGGCCCATGTGTTTACTTATTATGAACTATCCCCCAGCTGGCTGAGGGTCTGGCATGAGAAAAGCTGAAGATTCAATATAAAAGCAAGCAGTAAAGAAATAGGCATCTATCTTAGTCGTGTGTGTGTGTGTGTTGTATGTTGTATATGTATATACCCTGATCTTGCTTGTGTGATTCCTATTCCCTCAACAGCCATTTGCCATTTACACACATCTGGGGGAGGAGGGAGAAGGATGCTTTTTATGAGGATTTCTGGGGAATTCAGAAGGACGAAGAACCCTGTTAGTGAGATCCAGAGATTCACATGTTCCCTTCTCAGTGTGTTTGCCGGACATTAATTTACAGAGCCAAACTGCCAACTGGTTTCCTGATCATTTTTGCGGCCAGGCTGTGAAGATTTGAGAGTGGAACTAGGGATGGAGCTGGCGGCTGCTTGGAATGCTAGTCTCTCTCTCTCTCTCTCTTTTTTTTTTTTCCCTACCCCTTTTTGGCCTGAGAGGAGGGAGAAAGTTTGAACTGAGAGATTGGTTTCATCTGAGCTAGGAGTGAAATTCATGACTGTCATATCCTGGAATTTGGAAATTTGTTGGATGCTAACTAGGCCCTGGGCTTGTGCCTAGAAGAAAAGATAGAACTTTTGTGAGATGCATGGGATGAGGGGCATGCTGGGGGGCCCAGGACCTGAACCTGGTAGAGTAAGCGTATCTAGGGGCTATAACTGGTGTTTTGGAAAATTTCCAGTTACTGCCTGCTCTGATCTCATTCTTTAAGCCTCACTTTGTAGAATCATGCTTTTGATTTCTTAGCAAAGTGCCTGTTAAGTGATAAACACAGAATGGTCTTAAGATACAAAAAGCTGAGGGCCTCCCCAGTGGCGCAGTGGTTGAGAGCTGGGTTGCGAAGCTGCCCGTAGCCTCTGCTCCCCTGCCACCAGAGGAGGGTCCCACATGGCGCGCAGACCTCTCCTGCCGCCTGCTGCTCCCCTCAGCAGTGTACTTCTGTCCTTCTGCCTGCTCTGCTCCCCGCTCTGGCTCAGGTGAATTCTCTCACCCTCCCGTGCTTCTAACTATATCCAGTGCTTGTATAAATAAATAAATAAATAAATAAATAAATAAATAAATAAATAAATCTTTTTTAAAAAAAAAAAAAAGATACAAAAAGCTGGAACCTGTAACCCCCTGGCCTTGGCATGACTCAAAGTGTGGACCCCATGTGCTGGGAATACTAGGTGACAGGCGAGGTCTGGAGAGAAGTGTTCCACCCCAGGCCCCCTGAGCTCAGCAGCTGGGGGATAACCTCCGGAAGACCACCTTCCTGAGGCAACAGATGTGGGACGGGCTTTGGCTGTTGCGATGTGCACATGTGATGAGAACTGGGTCAGGTTCACTCTTACAGGAAGCCGTTCTGCCAGCTCATTGTGCAAGAAGACCCTTGAACTTGCAGTCTCCCTGTGGGACCTTAGGCTAAATGTTCCCATCCTGCTCCTTACCCCCTTCCTAGTGAACAGAACAACTGCCTTGTATCCCCAGCTTGCCCAGTGGAATAATCAGCTCAGTGCTTTAGGCTGGAGTAAAGATAAAGAAGAAGTTTGAGATCAACCTTTGCCAGAGAAACCTGGGGGCCTCCTTAACCCCACCACTTGGCAGGCCTTTCTGTACCAGTAGGTTAACCTGAACTTTGCAGGCCCCTGGGTTCACAAGGATGAAGGTACACTGTAACCACAGTCCTGTATCTTTTTGTTAACTCAGTATGGAGGGATCATGATTCTGCTTCTGCTTCCGGAGATTGCTG